AATAAATAATTTTGTCCGGTTTAATTATGATTCGGTGTAGTCAACACTAAAACACATCTACTCCCACACCTCCACCTCCATGGTTCATCACTATCACACCACACAGACACCGCCCCTAGACACCCCACCCTAAGGACCCAATTGTATTCACACGTCGCTGCCACTGTATATACACCAATATGTAGCAAGAGTCGAACGAGCGCCCTAACGTAACACATTTATGATAAGAACTTCACATCAGTGCCTCAGTAATTTGTCTGGAAGTCAATCATTAAACAATACGCATTTCTTATTTAACTGAGTGTATTTCAGTCAGCAGTTTTAAAGTAAATAGGGCAACCTTAATCACCGTAATCATATTTTGATTTTAGGAATTATCGAAAAAAAGTAACAAGTAGTACCGAAATAGTTTTAACTGCAAAGTAATGTTACATTGGTTTCATTTTCATATTTACATTATAAACTTATTTTCCAACATAAATCTCATTCATTTTCCAACGTTAACTACTCAGAAATTTGTACAAATCACAAGGTTGAATGCCAGAAATCTTTTAACATTAATAGATTTAATACTGTCTTCTAATTATAATCATCTTCACGATCAATAATCATGATATCGTGTAATATAATCTTTTATTTACACAAAATGTTTGCTCGGCATTATTTTTTTTGAAATGAAACTAGTTAAGTACATACATTTGTGTTGTAAAACAGCACTGAAATGTAAGAACTTCTTTTCATATTATAAGGATTTTATTTATAGCAGATAAGTTGTAAAGTAATTGGATTTATTCAAAAGAAATTTCAGTGGGATTAATTATTATCTTGGTAAGTTTGTTGTGAAGTATTTTCTTATCAAATGTACTTGATATCCATGTTTATCCTAGTGAATGTAAAAATATGACTTATAGTAATGATTTTATGATGAAGTATTTAAGTTTGTTTGATTGTACAAATGGTCTGATCTTCAATATAAATAAGTTTGACAGAAATAAAAATATCATTAGTTTATATATTTGCCTGACAAGAAATGAAGCAGAGTACGAGATATAGAACAACTGTGATTAATTCTCGGTCAGTTTTCAAAGAACTCTTTTTTGTCGCAAACAGATAGCTTAAGGGAAAATCGAACAATCATCTTACAAGTTGCAAACAAACCTCACAGAAGTACTCTACAAATTATTTTATTTGATAATCGGGAAAATATAGCCACATATAAATCAACCCATACAGACATTACATATCCGTCTCCTCCAGCCTCTATAATGAACCCAGTAAATCTTCAACAATCTTCATATTGTTCTTGGTTAAGTGACTAAGCTTTGAGTTTTCATCGTGAAATAAGTAAAGACCCTCTACTCCCATATTTTTAGTAAAATTCTAAGAGGTTTCAGTTCATTTGTCCTCTGATGAAAGATAATGTCAAATAAAAAACCAGAGCATTTGATCCGTATTAATGAATGAAATTGTATCTCAATGGTCAATAACTGATTCTTAGAGCAACAAAAATCTGTTTATGTGGTTCGCAGTACAGTTTTTAAATTATATCTCTCTGAAAGAATAAAATTGATCTGTCTCGGATTACGCGATTTGAGATGAACAGCAAGATATATTTGATCAAGTCTCTCTAATTACAGATACACATGATCGTTTGGTACTTGAGACCTTGTAAAATAGTAAATTCAAAAACCTCCTGGTGAATTTAAGCTGGAATTCAACATAATCGGAAATTTCTGAGCTAATCCTTTCAGTAGTCTGAGAAGGGAATCTCAGACAGCCCCATTTTGAAATACTTTTTTCAAGAGAAAGTTGGATGAAGAGTATTTTTTCAAGTCTCTACATGATGCGTATTTTTATCATCTCACTTTATAATGTAGATTATAGATCACACAAACTATCAGAAGGCATTCAATAACATATTCATCTTGGACCAAATTCATTAATTACAATTCATAGTGCACAGTCTAACTTTTAAAGTAATGTACTACACTAGTTAATAAGTTTGTATTCCTACATACTGTACTTGCCTATATAAGCTTACTTACTTACTTAAGCCTGTTAATCCCAATGGAGCATAGGCCACACACCAGTTTCCTCCAACCAACTCTGTCCTGGGCTTCCCTCTCCAGTTCTGTCCAATGTTTGTTCATTCTTCTCATATCTTTCTCTATTTCTCGGCGTAATGTATTAAAGTTTTAACGATGTACATATTTGATTTCAAAAATTATTATCCAATGCTATTGTTAGTCATCTATCCGGATGTATTAAAGAAGGGATAATCTCATTTAATATAAATGATTTTCATAGATTGTTGTATATTCTGCGCTTTAACAAAGTGTTTTCTATGATAGTATTCCTGAATTTCTGACCTCATGTTAACCTGATGTTAATCTATTTCATAATAAAGTGATTGTGAAGATATGTGCTAAAATCAATTGAAAAGAAATGTCAAAGGTCTGTTTCATACTGGTTTGCATATATTGTCAAGGTATATATATGAAAGATTTTTGGGGAACTGATACATTATCTGGATGTCTACTGCAATGACACAATCAGAGATTGCCATAGAACTAGTCATTTCAAAACCGACCATATATGTATATATAGTAATGTCGATAAATCCCGAATTCGTAACCATAGTGGTATCCGTTTAAAATGTCGCTAAACGTTACCTCACCTATAGATTCTCATTGAATTTTATCGAACCGTTAAACGTTTAAACATGGATTATACGATGTTCGCATTGCATTATACAGGCCATATTACAAGTAGATTGAGTGCATTCGATCAGGACAGAGTATCAAGTTCAGAACCATTCAAGTTCTGCAGAAGCAATATACATAGCGCAGTTTTCCAGTTTTTTGAAGCATACCGACTGAGAGAGTTAGAAGAGAGGTACTAATTTTAAACAGTATAAGAATGAAAGTATAATTAATCCACAATATCTTTGATCAGTTGTTGAAAATGAACTCTACCTAGACATACAAGCTACTGGTCAATACTCCATGATAAATCAATAAAGTATATATTCACATAGACTAGGATATCACGATTATCTGATGTTTTAATGAATCATTAAAACACTAGAATTTCCCAACCAACTGCTTGTCAATTCAAGTCTAACATTGATTGATTCATGTTATTAAATGAAGCTGTTTGTTAAGTTTAAAATGTTAAAAGCTGACTATTTCACCTCTGGAAATAATGTTATTAAGCCAACTCATTAAGGTTTATGTTCAAATATAATAATAATTTATAATTCTTATATACTACTATCATTGCCTCTGAGAAACCTATTACACTGTATGTTTTTTTATTTTAACTCTTTCAGAATAATTGTTTAACATGTTCGTTGCAAAAAGTCATACTGTATTTTTCGTGGTAAACTTGATTACAGCAGTAAGTAGTAGTAGTAGTAGTAGCCATAAGTGTTTTCTTATTTTGACAATAATCTACCTAAACTACTGTAAAACAATCCAATTCCAATTGAAACACGATTTAAACAAAAATAATGAAATTACCAATTTCCTGTTTTTTATAGTAATGTAAATTTGAATTTTGTATACAACCATGTTGTGATTTATTTGTTAAATGTATTTCAATTCTAAATGAATACATAATAATAGTAATAATAATAATATTAATAATAATGTTAAGTAATTTAGAATGAAGCAGACTGACTTTATGAGTGTACAAAGAAATCGATATAGCTTGGTTCACCAACGACAACACCGATCAATAGTATTTCGTGTTAATAACTCAATTAGACTTTATCGAAATGGAACTTAGTTTGTTTTATCATGAATATATATATATATATATATATATATATATATGTGGTGCGTGCTACTTATAAGTAGTATATGACGTGAGTGTCAACGTAATGTCTGGCAGCAGAACATGGGGGAAGATCAATAAAGGAAGAGTTAGAACACAATGGAATTTGTATGAAACGCATGAATAGTGACAATGGATTGATGTTTTGCAACAGGAACAGTCCAGTTCGATATGATGGACTGACATTTTGCAAATTAACGATTTACGATATGGTTTTCCGATTTTACTGAGTAACTCTGTAATTTTCGTTAAATACAATGCAGTTGCCCCACCTGTGTTCTCGATCACTACATATACATTAAAGGGATTTGAGTATATTTGCGTAAGTTTCTTGAATTCAGTCAGTAATCGTTTCCACCGTTCATTGATCAAACAATTTGCCTGATACAAAAATATTCTTCTTCTCTCATTTATAAATCACACATGAAGGCAAGAGAACTACACCTGATTCTATCAACCAAAACAATAACTTGAAACACTTGAATTAAATGAAATCAACATAAAAACTGAAGATGTTCCTGAGAAGAGAATTTTCTTTTCATGGATGTAGGTAGCTTTTTGTATATAGTAGTCCACAGTGAAATAACATCGATCGATTCATGGTTTCAAAAATGTGTAAATTAACAATCTTCACAACCCCTTAAATGCAAATTACCTGTGCTCACTAGTGACTAGCTTCGTGAGGAATCTTCTCAGAGTTCTGGTGGGAAGTCGTGACCAGTGAAGTTCAAACCTGTTCGGGTGTAGGCAGTGTCTACCGAAGACTGTGTATGAGGTTGCGCAACTCCGTGAATTTGATCAAGTTAGACATTAACAGCGTTAGAAACCGGCTCAGTGGTCTAACGGTTAGGGCGTTTGCGAACAATACCGAAGGTCCTAGGTTTGAATCCTGCAGGGTTCAGGAGTCATGGGTGCGCACTGCCGAGGAGTCCCATACCAGGACTCGACGGCCGTCCAGTGCTTCCAAGTTTCTAGTGGTGGTCTGACACCGATCGATTCATGGTTTCAAAAATGTGTAACTTAACAATCTTTACAACCCCTCCAATGCAAATAATAAAATGTTACAATATTATTAACGTTAGATTTATTCAAGCCTCAAATATGTATTCAACTGTACAATACATTTTAACTTATAAGGGTTGATTGTTTAAATCTTTCGATAGATATTTAGGACTGCAATGGATCAGTTTATCATGACATATTTACCTCTTCTGGAAATTCAATCGAAAATGCAGTTAAGAGGTGGACGGTAGTTGGAAATGAAATCAAAGATGCTCGTTTCGTCCCATTTTGAACTTGTCTGATAAAAGTACCCTTTTCTCAGAGATAATAATCACTTCGTGACTGAAATGCATAACATTATATTCGATTCTTGAATAAGTTTGACCACTTTTTATTAGATTGTAACACTCCACAACTAAACTATAAACTACTTAGTGTAAAAGGTTAACTGTAACTTTTTACTCAATAAATTAGTTCACTTCGTTCCCGGATTGAAATATACAAATCTATCGATAAAGATTATGTAGAACTATGCATCTTTAAAATCTGTTCACTGATTTCATGAAGAAAATCAAACTACTTCACTATGGGAAATAAAATAGTTATTCACTTATTTGTGATAAAATTTGTTATAAATTTTTGAAACCATGAATCGATCACTGTTAGACCATTATTAGAAAGCTGAAAGCACCGGCCGGCCGTTTCGTCCTGGTATGGGACTCATCAGCAGTGCTCATCCACGACTCCTGCACCCCACAAGATTCGAATCCAGGAACTTTGGTACTGTGCGCAAACGCCTAACCTCTGGATCACTGAGCCGGTATCTAAGGGTGTTAATGTCTAGCATTGATCGATTCATCGTTTCAAAAAAATGTGTAACTTAACAATCTTCAAGACCCTGTAATGAAAATTTGTTATATTCATTTTAATCAGCATTGTAATCTCATACAACGGCCAAATAACTATCGAGTACTCTGGGGATTTTAATGTCACCATGATTTATGCTTATCGAGAAGAAAATTTCGAAGAAGAGAAGGTTAACATCTTTTGATAAACAGAATCAAACTGAATAATAGTGTACAGCATTTCAATAACTTAGTACTCAAGTAATGAGTTCACCATACACTAGTGGTATTAGATAGGTGATTACTTACCTACTTACCTAAGCCTGTTTACCCCCGATGGAGCATAGGCCGCCCAACAGTTTTCTCCAACCAACTCTGTCCTGGGATTCCCTCTCCAGTTCTGTTCAATGTTCGCTCATTCCTCTCATATCTTTCTCTAATTCTCGGCGTAATGCGTTCCTTGGCCTTCCTCTTTTCCTTTTGCCGTGAGAGTTCCATGTGATGGCTAGTCTCGTGACGCAGTTAGGTGCTTTTCGTAATGTGTGTCCCACCCACTTCCACCAATTCTTCCTGATTTCCTCCTCCACTGGAATCTGACTTGTTCTCTCCCACAGTTCGTTGTTGCTGATGGTGTCTGGCCAACGAATACGAAGTATTTTGCGTAGTCAGCTGTTAATAAACACTTGTATCTTCTGAATGATGGCTTTGGTAGTTCTCCATGTTTCCGCTCCATACAGTAGAACTGTCTTCACATTTGTATTGAAAATCCTGATTTTGGTTTTGGTTGAAAGTTGTTTGGAGTTCCAGATATTTTTCAACTGTATACGTGCAGCCCTTGCTTTGCCAATCCGTGCCCTCAGATGGGTGATTACTTAATCATGAGTTCATTCGATCAAGTAAAAAATTATACTTCCAGCAGATTACTTAAACATTTGATTAATTAACTGATTTTATCTCTTCTCCGCAAGGTAATCATTGCATTAGTAATAGTCGCTGCTGGACTGTTTATGTTGTCAGAAGAAGCCAATTCTTTGATATTACGTAAAACAATAAAATTGTTCGAGAAACATGTTGTCCCATCGACTCCACACTATGGTGATGGTGTGGGAAAGCTGATTTTGACAGTTACACGTAAGTTGCATGTTTGTTTGTTAAACTTCCTTTTATTGTTTGGCATACATGATCTGATCGCTAGGTAATAGGGAGCTATTTATTTACATATTTGGAATCATCAATCAATCATTGTTAGACCACCATTAGAAACCTGCAAGCACTGGACGGCCGTTTCGTCCTGGTGTGGGACTTATCAGTGAAAGTGCGCATCCATGACTCCTGCACCTCGCAGGATTGATGATTTCAATGTGTAAAAACACAAATCTCCAAAATTCTAACTGAAAACATTGTAACATGTGCTCACTAGTGACTAGCTTCGTGAGGAAATTCTCGGAGTTCTAGATGAGAAGACGTGACCGATGGACTTCACCCCTGTCGGGTGTAGGCAGTAACTACCAAAGACCAATGGATGAGGTCGCGCGAAATCCGTAGATCAATGAGACTTAGACATTAACACTGTTGGATGCCGGTCCAGTGGTCCGATAGTTGGGCGTTCGCACGCAATACCGAAGGCCCCGGGTTCGAATCCGGTGAGGTGCAGGAGTCATGGGCGCGCACTTCCACTGATGAGTCCCACACCAGGACGAAACGGTCATCCAGTGCTTCCAGGTTTCTAATGGTGGTCTAACAATGATTGACTGATGATTTCAAATAGTTAACATTTGTCAGCGAGTGATACTTACAATCTTGAGGTAATCGGTTCTCTCTTTTGAGATTCAGACTTTTTTCACTTTTAGTATCACGGTGAGAATTTGTCGCACATCATTAGCAGTTATATTCATTGTCAGTCACTTTTATCAAGTGAATCACAGTACTTTTTTTGCGCTGGTCAAGTCAGTTGTACTACAAAAAACACGGAAGGATATAGTCAGTCTTAAATATGAATCTTCTGTTTAATAATGAGCAATGATATCAAAAAAATTATTCTTAAACTTGATAGATTTTATTGCATTTATTCACAATTCTTATTCAATGAAAATTATTTTTAAATATATTAAATTGCAAATTAATCACTTAATAACTCTTATATAAAATAAATACTCTAAGATAATGCTGTCGATTTTTATTAATATAAGAAACAATTAAAACACCATACCACATTCGATTGGACCGCTAGAATGCAGCTGGAAGACCTAGACTTCACAGATGATCTGGTTCTCCTATCCCACGTTCAACAACAAATGAAAGAAAAAACGATCAGTGAAGCGACAGCCTCAACAGCAGTAGGTCTCAACGTACACCAAAGGGAAAAAGAAAGATTCTCTTATGCGACAGAACATGCACCGCCCAAATCACAATTAACGGAGATGCCCTGGAGGATGTAAATACCTCTACATACCTGAGCAATCTCATGCGTAGCAAGGTGGATCTGTTGCAGCTGATCGGCAAGGCAAGAGCTGAATCTCTACAAATGAGCAACATCTGAAACTCGGAACAACTAACAACAAACATCAAAGTCAGAATGTTAAATACAAACATCAAGACAGTACCATTGTATGATACGAAAAGGTGGAGAATTATGAATACCTCCATCCACAAGATACAAGTGTTTAATAGCAGCTGTCTACGTAAGTTACTCCGGATCTGTTGGCAGATGAACATCAACAACATCCTAGTGTGGTAGAAAACAAAGCAAATTTCAGCTGTGAAAGAGATTAGGAAAAAGTGTTGAAGGTGGCAAGACACACATTACGGAAATCACCTAACTGCATCACGAGACCAATCCTCAGTTGGAATCTTCAAGGCAAAAGGAAAAGAGGTAGATCAAGGAATACATTACGCCGAGAATATCAGAAGTAGACATCAGAAGATTGAACAGCAGTTGAATAGAAGTAGAAAGGAAGTTTCAGGATAGAGTAATTTGGAGAATGCTGGTCGGTTGCCTATGCTTCATTAGGGGCTTACAGGCGTGAATAAGTAAGTAAGTAAGTAGGTAACCTCATTGAAGACTTTTAACTTACAAATAACTTTCATCACTATTGATCTCAAAACTGTTGTTGTTGTTGTTCTCTTTTCCAGAACAGTTTAGCATTGTGATATTTGCATGCAGTTTAGGCAATTTACTTATTTGTATTATTGGATTGATTGCTGTTTGGAATCAGAAATCAACTATATTAAATATTGTAAGAGTTATGCACTTATTTTTTGACTATTTGTTTTTAAATTTTAATAAAAACGGAAAAACGATTATACTTCTGTAAAGGGTTCAAATAAAAAAGTTCCTCGATCGATGACTGGATCGAAGACTTCAACCCAGTTTGTTATCAGTTGCATTTTTTCAGTTGAATCGATTCAAATAATGAACTATAATCAGCAACTCTCTCTCTCTCACAATATCAATTGTATATCTGTTAAAAACATTTTAATTTATACAATAATCATGTATCATGTAATTGGAATCTTTTGGTATGGTGTCCAAAGAGAACATTCATTAGAAGACACCAGTCGATAATACCTATTGATAATGTATTTAAAGTTTCACTAATAAGACCAGTGTTCAAATCACCAAATGGTTATTCCATTCATTCAAAGTGAGATTCATCAGTTCTGTGTCTGGAAATACTCAGTACAGTCAGCCTTATAGTTCAAATTTAAAGTCACACTAATCAAAATAACGCTAAATGTAAAAATGGTAGCTATTTAAAAATTATTTAAAGCTGTTCTCAGATATCAACTAAGGTTAGATTAAAAACATTTGAAAAAAATTCTGCAATAGTTGAGGAATTATTCTCAAAGTTACTCATTAATAAGAACTAAAACTTTATCCACTGTGTTGCCTAGTTTTCAATGACACCAGTTCATGATTCAAATTACCTTTAAATCAAATAATTTTTCAGAAATCCCTTACCTTTATCAATATTATTTCTCAAAGATTGTCTGCATATTTATCAACTTTGAGTTATGATTGAAAACTAAATCAGTCCAGTTTTTAAAGTTTACTCTTGTGGAACCGCAAACAAATCATGTATGCACAGCAGAAGCGTTAGCTTTCCATCCTTTTAACTTCAACTCCATATGCAAAAGAGAAATATGCAAGCTATCAATCTCACATGGCTACAAGACTTAATTCTCACAAAAACTAACTTGATTGTTAGTAAATCCTTTCACATATTCTCAGTCTTTTTGATGTTAACTATTCTTTCACATCTTTGACACATAGAGAGAGAGAATCGTTTCAATTTGGTTTTAGACCGTGGCGCGATAAACGACTTAGTACAATGTTGAGACTGTCAAATATATGAGTTAGTTTGTGAATGAGTGACCTTTGTGGTAGAGAGAAGTTAAAAATTCTATCACTGACCTATAACCTGATAGATTGGCAAGACAAATTGGTTGAAACATCGCAAGAATTGTTTCTGATCCGAATTAATTAGAAAAGACAGGATTTTACAGAGATACTTTAATATTGATCAATTCATGATTAGAATGAAACTTAAAGATCATCATCATTCTACACTGATAATTAGTATGTGCTCACTTGTAACCTGCTTTGAGAGGGAATCTTCGGAGATCCATCGAAAAGCCATGACCATTGGAATTGAACTGTGTTGGATGTCAGGTAGTTGCCCACTGAAGACAATAGATAATGGTTATGAATTATCGTTTATTTTTCAAAAAACTTTCTCTTTGCTGTATTGTTTTCAATTATTTTTCAATAACTCTGTGTGTGTGTGAAAGTTACAGGTTATTCATATGACAGGAAATTAATGTATTCATCATTTATCAAGTTTGATAAGTTCAGTTCAACAAATAACTGTTCACCTCATTACCAATCAAATTTTCAACCAATAGTTTGTATATTGTTTAGACTGGATTATGAAACTGAGCTAAATGTAGAGTTGAGAATTTTTTAAAAGCAAAGCATTTCTAAAACAAGATTTAGTTGAAATTTCAATAAAAGATAGAACTTGAAATAAACGTAGGTTTTCTTTAGCATATTAATAGATGTAGAATATGCATCAGGATACATCTTTGTGCAAGTTGTCTAGAAAAACGAAAGCATTCGATAGAGTGGACAGAAAAACACTATGGAGGATTATTCGACACTACGGCGTGCCTGAGAAGATAGTCATCATCATACGGAATTCTTATGATGGTTTCAACTGCGAAATCTCGCATGAAGGACACTTGACAGACTCATTCGAGGTTAAGTCCGGTGTCAGGCAAGATTGTTTACGCTCACCCTTTCTTTTTTCCTCATGATCGACTGGATTATGACATCTGGAGGGACGCACGGTGTCCAGTGGACAGCTACGATGCAACTGGACAATCTGGACTTCAAAAATGACGTGACTCTTCTATCGCACACGCAACAGCAAATACAAGAGAAGACCAGCATTGTAGTAGCAGGTCTCAACATACACAAACAGAAAAGCAAGATTCTGCGATATAACACAACATGCGCCAATCAAATCACTCTTGATGGACACACCTTGGAGGACGTGAAAGCCTTTACTTATCTGGACAACCAAGGTGGATCCGATGCAGATATGAGGGCGCAGATCGGCAAAGCAAGGGATGCATTTCTACAACTGAACAACATCTGGAACTCTAAACAAATATCAATCAACACCAAAATCAGGATTTTCAATACAAATGTCAAGACAGTTCTACTGTATGGAGCGGAACCTTGGAGAACTACGAATGACATGATTTAGAAGACACAAGTATTCATTAAAAGTTGCCTATTCAAAATACTTCGAATTCGTTGGCCAGACATCATCGGCAACAACCTACTGTGGGAGAGAACAAACCAGACTGCCTCGGAGGAGTAAATCTGGAAGAAGCAGTGGAAGTGGATAGGATACAGAATGCAAAAGCACCCACCTTCGTCACCAGACAATCCATTTCTTGGAACCCTCAATGTCAAAGGAAAAGAGGAAGGCGAAGGAATACATTACGCCGAGAAATAGAGAAAGATATGAGAGGAATGAACAAACATTGGACAGAACTGGAGAGGGAAGCCCAGGACAGAGTTGGTTGGAGATAACTGGTGGGTGGCCTATGCTCCATCAGTAGTTACAGGCGTAAGGAAGTATGCCTAAATTGGTTGATATTTTAAATTTGATATTTTAAATTTGATATTTTAAATGGTGTATTTCTGTAACAATCTCTCCCTCTCTAATATCCTTTTTCTTATGAAGTATCAAATAATACTGGGATTTCTTCTTCTTAGCCATTTAATGCTGATTATTGGATACTATTTCAGTAGACAAACTGTAAGTTGAAATTGATGTCTATAAAAAAAAATTCAACTGAATTTTATCGATTTTTTAATGTCTGTATTTTTGTACTGATTGACAAACCGAAGGATTAATAAGGTCATTAACATTTGTTTGTGATGGATGAGCTCTAAACAATCGCGACAAATTTTATACAACTGTCAGTCAATTTGAAAATAATCTTCGCAAATGCATAGTTCATAGAAAAGAGCCAATGATTTCACAAAGTGTGAATAGATTTTATATAATTAATAAATTAATTAGAGTCTTCAACAAGTTGTTCTCTCTGTAAATCAAAAACCAAGGACTCAGGTAGAGAAAATCTTAACCCTTATAAGAATAAACACTCTTTTACAGAATATCTGTTTGCATTGTTCCTGGTTAGGATTTATACATATCTGATTGGTGATTTAATGTTGACAGTCTAGGGTTAAGGATTCAGAATTAGGTATGGAAGGTTAGGATTGAGCATTTGCGAAATGAGATTAAGGATTTAGTGTTAAGGAAGAATTACTACTGCGGAAGAATTAAGTATTCGTTACGTTTTTCACTTCACTTCATGATGGTAACCAAGTGGTCCGTCGTTATTAACTGAAACGTTCTCAGTATCCTACAAAGGTATGTTTAGTGCTCGTTCTGTATGATATCATGTCAATATTATTCAGTTTTGAATTCCACTCAGACAACCTAACAGCCTCATTTTCCATTTCGACTAACTTGACTCTCTAATCTACATCCATTTATTCAAGATGACTGTCCTATTGTTATAAAGTTTATGGGTGTACTTTATTCTGGATGAATGAAATGTGATCCTTTACTAACGGTTAAAAATTAGTTTATTGGTTGCTACAGTTATAGTTTTATTCATTTGAAAGAAAAACAGATGTTTATTTGGATTTCAATAAGTTATTTATTTGCTCCGACTAAAACATAAACGAACAATAGTATTCAGTTGCATGTAATCTGGGTTTAAGTAGTTACCATTCTCAAATGTACACGCTAAGTGTGGCAGTAAACTTCGATTGCTCCAGTAATTATTAAAACGAATGGCAACTAATAAAAAATAATGTTGAATGATCCTATGGGCACTGGAATAGATATACTATACCGGTGAAAAGTGTTCTCAATGATAAACCATTCTGCTTTTAGTCTGTAGGATGGTTGTAGACTTAACCTACTGTTCAATGTTCTCCGGCTTCAGTTGTACCTTGAATGAGATTAATGTGTGAAAAAATATTTCTACTTATGCTTGGTAAAGTTTTAAAAACTGCTCGTTTAAAGCTAAAAGTAGTTATTTTTTTATCAAAAAGAGATATATTACTGAATTACACTTCATTACAATGGTTGAGAAATATGAAACGTTTGGCTCAGCGATAATTGATTGTAGTAGGCAATAAACTACTAAGATAATTTCTATATTCGAAATAAATTCATCAGTAAATTAATAAAAATGTTCAGAAACTACTTCCAAAATTGAAGTTATATGAGTTATTATGATATGTACTGAAAGCTAAATTAAATAGCTTCAATATACAAAAATTGGCGGGAGTTGAAAATTTATAAAATGGTCTAAACAACACTCTATCACATTATTTTACCTTGAATCATTGGTCATTTTCGAAATACAATTTGTGACTTGTAAATCAACTGTACGAATCCGTCTGGTAACTAATCAGATTTCATAAATTTGACTATCAATACTTTGCGTCAATGGCAAATCTAACCAGTATTGAATCTTATCTGTTGTTATATAACTGTGCGTGCTTACACTTATAAGCAGCTGAAAACTGTGGGCATTATAGTCACGAAAATGAACGATTACTGTACTAAAACACCATATACATGACTCGTAACTAATAACTGTTTTATTATCTACTGCAATCAGACATTTTCTGTGATACAATACAAAATTGGTAGATGTCACTTTGTCGGCACATGTACAATATCAGATTACTCGATCAATAATATTTTGTTTGTCGCTGAGTGATTAAATGTTCAAGTTTATAGAATAATTGGGTTACTCCAGTGTAAATGTAACATGACTAGGTACACTTCCAATTCTTAATCTCATTAATTTATTTTCCTCTAATAAATGTTGTCTTTCATTTTTTTACTATCAAACTCCTTGCTTTTCTTTGTAAAATCATTTAGATTAAAACTTATTTGGAGAAGTTCATTCGGCAATACATGTCCGAATATGTCTCATTGACAAGTGGGACTCCGGCAAGTTTATTTACTGGCAGTGTAATGGCTTTGGTATGTAGAAACAAAGTTTCGTAATTGTAAAAAATTCGATGATAAATGTTGAGAGTGTTTTTTTTAACGAACAACAATGTCATTCTGTTATGCATATGTATAAAACAATTAGTTTGTTGAATCTTTATATTTCTCTGATTGACTGATTTATTAATTAGTCAAGAATAATTATTTACAATCAACTGTAAGCCTGCTGTTCAATGCCCTATCGTATATATATATAATGATTTCTAATTTATCATAGGGGGTAGTCAAGTATTGCATACAGATAATTATTCAGGTTTTTTAAGGTAATATCAGCTGCCGTTTCTTGTAGTTTAGACTGAAGATTGCCAAGTTAAATATTTTTCAATGGCAGTCAGTTGCAACGTAGAACTTCGTACGTATGTACATCAGTTCATGTTGCCATACCACATTAGCACAGAGACGCATATGTCAAATCAAATGCCATAGTGATAAAGATAGTAGAGGTATGAATGGTAATGAAGAAGACTAGGGTTTAAAGATATTATTCAAGAAGTATAATTCAGTGAGATAAGGTTAGAAAGACAAAGGTAGAGATGCTGACGATTCCAGAAGATTAGGATTTGAGAGCGCTCAACGAATGGATGCACTTGCGCCATCGCAAACGATTTTGAGCAATCTCATTCAAGGTCTCTAACCATTGGTGACTTTCGTCTCGCGGACCCCAACCTGATAGTCTACATCTACTAACATGACTCAGTCCACTTGTCAGTAACTTCATGGATTTGTGCCATGTTTTGGTCTGGCCGCCCCTAGCTTTCTTCCAACCTACTCTTACACCACGAAACATAGCTCGACGAGGCAGTCGGTGGTTAGCCATACGTAACACATGTCCCAAACACCTCAACTGATGAAGTTTCAATACTTCATCTTCTGATCTGCCATCCTTAACTAGCATCCGTTTCCTAACGACATCACTGCTTACTCGATTATCCCACGATATACGAGCAATGCTTCTTAAACATCTATGATCGAATAATAGTAACCTACGAACATCTTCACTTCACAGAATCGGGAAATTAGCATTATTGATTCATGAATAATTAAAAATTTTCAAATTAATATTTTAGATGTTGAACAGCTGAACATTATCATACAGACACTTAGTAATTTGAGCACTAATTTACACTGAATAAGAAATCCATTAACATTATTGCCTGATGTTGTATCTGAAAAGGAGTGTAGATAACAGTTCGTAGTTAGCATTCAACAACATCATTCTTTGTTATCTCTGATTCTCTTAGAACGTTTTCATGAATAAAGTCAAAACATAACCAGCAGTTATTCATATAAGCTCCACTAATGTATTAACTTGATCAGTCGAAATTATTAAGATGAATAACAAAGAAGGTTGAAACAGTATAGTAGCAATGATAATGAAAAAGATTCAACTTTAAACACATAATGTGATCAGATACATAAAAGGCATTCGTGAAGAAATACTAGAACTCAAAATCCAGTGAGCTAAATCATGCTAACTGACAACTACGAACTCAGATCATGGTTAGTCAGTATCGACCAACATAGATCTGACTATCGGTTGAGAATTTCATTGACTGATGCAATGTATTGGTTTGATGATGTGTTGCTTCGTTCCAGACTACCTCTGCACCAGCAAATATCACCTGTTGCGATAGGTGGTGGTTAGGGTTAATGAATTTCACATAAAAATTATTCACAGATAAATTAATATTGTGAAGATAAAGTAGCATTTATAAAGGAGTTTGGCAAAAACAAGGCTTTATTCTTATTAAATCGAAATTCCTATGTTTATTGATCATTTCTTATGTCGCCTTGATGTTACATAAGTGTACTGTGTGTTACATAGAACAACATATGAATAAATGATCAGCTGATGTTTTTTTTTGGTTGTTTACATGATTCCACTGTCTTGCATACATTTTTAACACTAAGGCAGATGAAGAAAACATATCGATTTTCTTGTTTTGATGATAAACTTGTTTCATCATGTTCATGAAGAGTAGTGAAAATTGTTTTTTGGTTCTGTAGAAAGTACTCAAATAATAGGTTAAAGTAAATGGTGTTTGGCATTATTTTCTAGAAATTCAAAACAGTGGTTCCCTTTGATAAAGTTGAACAGAGAAATGAGAAGACATATTTTGTGAGATTGTACCATTTCGTGCTTTCTCGTCAGTCACATACAAGCAACATGTTATTCGTGTAAATACCTCCACTTCACTAGTCTCTGCCCCATACAATATAAACGTTCTGTTGTCAAAACTTTATTCGCTCGAGCAAGTAGAATCTGCACTGCTGATACATTAGATAACGAATTCAAGCTTATTACTGAGACACTTAAATTAAACGGATATCCCGAAACGTTTATTGGTCATCAGAACACAACTACGACGAAGCTGATAGCAACTGATGTACCCAAGAAACCAGTGTACCTACAGTTACCTTTCAAAGGTGATCATTGCATAAAAATAACAACCAAACAGACTGCAGCTGCAAGAAAAAAGACCTTCGATGCAGCTAATCTGAGGCTTATCACAACAACTCAATCGATCTCAGTTACCCCAATCAAGTTTCCAAGACCGATTCAGTCCAAATCCCATTGTATTTACCAATTCACATGTAACTGCGGAGAAAGTTACTTGGGTAGGACAGATCGTCGATTGAAGGGCAGGATAGGGGAACATATTCCAAAATGGTTAATCGAATCCATGATTCATCCACCTTGCCCGTCATCTCAAGATCGATCAAGAAACCCAGCCTCGTCTATTGCAAAACATCTAATGATGAGTGGTCATCAAATTGACCCAAAATCAGCCTTTACAGTTGTGACTTGTCATCAAAACCCACACACACTGAAACTACTCGAAGCTATATTGATTGGTCGGAAAAGTCCAACTTTATGTGTTCAAACACAACTGTATGTTGACCTTTGTTTACCATGGTTCTAGTGAGTGAATGTCATGTTAAATAAGAAATTTTGACCTTATCTTCAAAACTGTATTTACACAAATAACATGTTGCTTGTATGTGACTGACGAGAAAGCACGTAATGGTACTATCTCACAAAATATGTCTTCTCATTTCTCTGTTCAAAATTATTTTCCAGATAAACATAAAAATTTATTCAATTTATTTCAGTTCCCATCACACTGTATACCAAATTTTATTGTGTTGTGGACGTAAGATCCACAGAACTCACTTGATAGTCGTCCTAATTTTGGGTTTTAAGTTCTCGCGCATAGGCTGCTCAGCTGACCTTGAGATTACATTTCCCACTCGGAAAATTCTTGGCTGTTATTGATTGATGTATTATTTTAGTACGCTCTTTTTGCGGCTATCCCAAGGACGTTTCTACCATGTATGTGTGCTTGTCAACCTCATATTTTCTGGGTGATTGTAGAATACACTATCTATGTTTTGTCAGGACTTCGTTCTCTTCTTAGTGGTGCCTTGGGATGCTCGGATTAGAGTAGCCTATCGTGTCACTGGATCATTAGTCTTCGCTCTCGTTTATCGACTAAGGTGAACTCGTATTGGTTTCAGTCATAGCAATTGACGAGTTTAATATATTGAATTCATTCATTCATTCTGTTTCTATAAACATCTAGAAAAGAGCCAGTACGTGTTTTACATTAACCAATTATGACCGATGGGAGTTCAACTGCGTAGAGTGTAGAGCAGAAACCACCGAATACATCAGGTGAGGTTGAGCCAAACCCTGAGATTGATCAGAGTTAAACATTAACTTCACTGGATGATGCCCCAGTAATCCAGAGATTAAGCATTCGCGAGCAAGAAGGAAGGTCGAGTGTTCGAATCCTGCAATCGACAGTAGTCATGGATGCGCACTGCTGATGGGTCACGTGCCGGGAGAAAATGGCTGTCCAATGGTTCCAGGTTTTGATGGTGGTCCAATGATTAATTCATGATTTCAATATAATCCAATTAATTATCTGAAAAGGAGTTTTTAAAAATAGAGGCATAAACAAACAAAAAGAATTTTTGAGATGGTTATTCATAGAAATGTTTATTTCATATAACTGTTTTCCTATCAGTAGCTGATCAATAAATTATATGGATTTTTATTCAGAAATGACAAATAAAATAAATTCATTTACACATTACAATTCAATCACATATTCTATCCATAATCAAACAATCAAACCAACTTTATATCATTCATAGAAAGAGTTTAAATTATCCTCATGTTGATACTCATGACTGAATCTCGTTTAGCCATGGCTAGTATACCAGTTGAATAAGTTAGCTATCATTAATAAACTGGAGCGAAAAATATCGGGTTCTGAGTTCTGAGTTACAGTCTACTTGCTAGTCCTCTAGATAAGACGAAACACAAGTGTTACCCTTTACTGCTCAACACAGTTTATTCCTTTTCTAAAATATTAATTTGTTTGTATAAATATTCATGATTATATAATTAGAAAATATTGATTAATGTAGACTGGGATCACAAAATTGTTTTTTTTTCACTTTTTCATTTTACTATTTCAGTTAAATTGTTGTGGAGCCAGAGATGATGAGTTTTATTGGGAATTTTCCAAATTTGATCCGAATGATGCATATGATAACATAGTTTATAAAGGTGAGAATAAAAATACAAAACATAATTTATTACTATAAACGAGAGATGATCACTGATGTCAAATTGTCAACTCTCTAAGTTTATTGACAAATTTTCTTGGCTGGTAGGTATATCAGTTGAAGTAATCCGCACTCTGCCTGGTATCAAGTGTTGAAAAAATAATTAGTAAGCAGTTTTGTGCCTAGATTTCTTATGATCTAACGGTAGTTAACATTGTGTACGATGTAAGAACTTGAGAAAAGTTATGCGTTTTCTTGAATTCACACTTGTTTTTATTGATGAGCATTACAGTCAGAGCATATGACCAATAGTCTATTAATTTCAATCAATTGAAATCAGACATAGTGTTTATATCTTCGAGTCATTTCGACAGGTGCACATTTTACTGAATCTAGTCTTAACTTAATTTATATCTGGAATTGTTACAGTTAATTGTTATGATCTTTAAGAAAGTAAAATTTTCACTCAAAGTATTTCAAACCATATTTAAAATTCATGTCATTTAAAACTAACCGGTACAAGGTATTAATGAATCATAGGTTAGCATGTTATCTGAGTCGTATTCTTGATAAATCAATATTCAGCCGACAATATTTTCCTGTTTAAACTTAGATCATTTCATATAATTTATCTATATGAACAATGATCAAGTTTTAAAAGATTATTTTAACAGAATACTTTTATATAAATTCAAGAAGTATAGAGTAGAAACTCTATAATTCATTTGTAATTTACTTGAAGGAAAAAATAGTAATTTTTTCGAAAAGTGAATGTTAAGAGTATAAAGTACCAGTTGCAAAGTTCGGGTGCTTTGAATACTCAAACTTTACTACCTTTATTACCTTGACTTCGAGAGTGTTTATTAGGAGTTTTTAAAACATAGTACTTTCACACTTGGAATCACCAGTTGCTCTTACCTAGGCAACCATTAAAACTTAAATGCACTGGATTGCCGTTTCGTCTTCAGCAGTGCGCACTCACGATGTCTAAAAAGAGAATCCAAACCAGGACTTTCAGTCTCTCAAGCAACGTTATTGTCTAACTTTAAATAATCCATGATCTTGCGTGACAAATATCAGTAGTCTTCTATGAGTAACCGCCTTAAACCTGACGTGGTTGAGCTTCCCTGTTCACAGATACTTGACAGAACTACAGAATTCCATCTTGATACTGGTATTCAGTGAGTACATGGCTGTTACTAGTATAAGAGTTTTGTGGGGATTGTATCATTTCCACAATTGAAATCAAGAACTCTACTTTCATGTGAGATATTTTATTATGACTTGATTTGACATGTAAAAATGTACTAGCTTAACATATAGGGAAAACACTCAGACTGAACAGAGTATGTTACTAAACGAATTATGCTAAAGAATATTCTAGAAGCTTCAATTTTTTTTCTGTTTACAACAATCGTATTGTTTTATTTTATTTGCTCCAATCTTAAGTAGTTGTACAACTAAAAGCAAGATAACGCTAAATTTTCATCCTAGATGAAAATATGATGTTCACTCTTTTCGGAGTAGGCACTCTCTGCCTATACACACTTCTTAAATCATACAAAACACAATTGTTATCAAAATCGGGTATTGAAAATCGTATTAATTTGAGTTTCTAGGTTTGTGCGCTAAAACTGTTATGACAGAATTTGATTTTCTTCTTAAATGACCTGAAATTTCACGTCATCACCAATCTTACATGCCATGCTCTGGCGACATTATTGTTAAATTACACACCCTCATACGTTTATATCATAAGGCGCAGTTGCCAAGATCTGAAAACAATACATTTCAACGCTCAAACTGGCTACTTGAGCAAGAAGGCAAGAGTAGAAGGAGAAAGTCATTTCTTGACCAGTGTGATATATAATCATCCTTTGGCAACATCAAATAGCCTTTTAATTCAGTCACTTCTGATCGGCTCACTTAATCATTTTCGTAATAATATTGTTTCAAGGATTTCTTTTAAATAATGTTCAACTCGGATTATTACTTACATACAGCTTTCAGCAACAGTTCTGCAGTGCCTTATATATGGCATAGTTTAAGTAAACTCAGATAAATGGTTAAGAAGATGCGTTTTTGAAGATGGATGATTTGTTCTTGAGAATTTCATTATCTTTCTAGACAGCATATTTAGCACGACCTTTAGATGAAAGTGACTAGCTGGTTGCTTTTTCAACAATTAATTTGAACTGTAACTTTTAACAATTTTTCATTGACTGTGTTTGTACAATTATTTGATCAATGATTTTTCCTCGCTTTGGTCAATAACTGTGTCGATTTCAATGTGTTTAAAGATTGTTTGATGATCTAAGTGTTACAACGAACTAACAACGAACTTTCTGTTTCACAAAATTTGCAGACTTGCCCAATCAAACTTGACATCTGAAATGTACAAATATTTATTACTTTAAGCAAAGATGTGTCGTGATGTTTGACAGTTGATTATTAGTATTGAACACAAAGATACGAAAGGTGTATTAATTCATTGTTTTTATTTCAATTGAAACAGTTTATATTTAAGATAATATTAGTGTTGCATTACGGGGTTGTAAAGATTGTTAAGTTACACATTTTTGAAACCATGAATCGATCAATGTTAGACCATCATTAGAAACCTGGAAGCACTGGACGGCCGTTTCGTCCTGGTATGGGACTCCTCAGCAGTGCGCATCCAAGACTCCTGCACCCCGTAGGATTCGAACCCAGGAACTTGTGCGCGAACGCCCTAACCGTTAGATCACTGAGCCGGCATCTGACGGTGTTAATTTCTAACTTGATCAAATGCAAATTACCTGTGCTCACTAGTGACTAGCTTCGTGAGCAATCTTCTCCGAGTTCTAGTGGGAAGACGTGACCAGTGAAGTACAACCTGTTCGGGTGTAGGCAGTGTCTACCGAAGACTGTGTATGAGGTTGCGCAACTGCGTGAATTTGATCAAGTTAGACATTAACACCGTTAAATACCGGCTCAGTGGTCTGACGGTTAAGGCGTTCGCGCACAATACCGAAGGTCCTGGTTTGGAATCCTGTGGGCTGCAGGAGTCGTGGATGCGCACTGCTGAGGAGTCCCATACCAGGACGAAACGGCCGTCCAGTGCTTCCAGGTTTCTAATGATGGTCTAACATTGATCGATTCATGGTTACAAAAATTATTTGTGTTGTTAAAATTTTTTTTATTCATTTTGTTTTTATTTTTCTTCTAAGGAATACATTTGCCTGTAACATGTTGTAGAATGAATAATATGTTGGAAATAATTAATACAACATGTCCATTTCAGTATACAATATACAATAGTAATATTGGAATTGGTTGTGATAAGCCATTTTCAGAAGAAATAACCTTTCATACAGACCAAATGGTGCTTGGAAGTATTGGATTATTATTAATCAATGTATGTTTTAATTTGGTCTTGTTTATTAATGTAGTATTTCATAAGCGATTTGCGCTTTCTGATATACACAGTTCATCAGCTTACTTTGATAATTACTCTATGTTTTGTACATAATGGAGATTTCATCGAGAATTCAATTCACCCGAAGAAAAATTGGTAAACAATGTTGGAAGGGTGATTGTTTTTGTTAGGATATTCATCCAATATCTGTCGGGGACGTTAGATCCCCAGAACTCGCTTGATAAATGCCGTAATTTTGGATTTCACGTTTGCCAGCATGGGCTGATCAGATGACCTTGAGATTTCTTGTCCTACCAGGAAAATCTCTGGCTGTGATTGGTTGCTGTGTATTTTAGTGTGTTATTTTCGTGACTGTCCCAAGGACGTTTCTATGATGTATAAATAAAAGCGATTTGTGTGCTTGATTGTATTGTGCTTGCTGGGAGTTTGTAGAATATACTTTCTATATCATTAGTTCTCATTAGCTGTTTGAGGTGAACGGATCAGGGTAGCCTACCTAAACGCTGGTTCATTGTCTCGTTCTCATTTATCGACTAAGGTGAACCCATAATAGTTTCGAGCATACCTAGTGACGATCACAACAATATCTTAAGATAATTGTTTGTAAGTCTAATCCTATTGGTCTATTCCTATTGGTCGTTTTAACTGTCAATGTCACAGACTTCAATGTTGTTTCCTATTCGACCTAACTTTATATATATGCATTATCTGTGGCGTTTTAGGACACAGATCTCTAGTCCGAGATCCTGATTCTCTTCTGGACTCGGACCTCGTACTCTCCAGATGCTTGTAGAATACAGGTTCTAATTCATATCAAGTCTTCTTCTTTTACTTAATGAAGGGGTTTGTGCCAATCGGATTAGAGTAACTTGTCATGTTGCCGGACCCTCGTTCCTCACCCTGGTTACCCGACTAAAGTAAACTCGTAATAGTTACAGCATATCAAAATGACGTGTTTACGTGCATTCATAACAATTTCATTCTGAAATCAAACTTCACAACAACACAATGTACTCACAGCAGCGGCATAGATTACATCGAAGACCGACAAGGCTATAGATAATGTATTATTGTTTGGTGAACTTTTTTAGCTTATTCAACTAAAATTTTACAGTCAATCTTTTCGTAAGATGGTGCAATTACAACTTGCACTTTCCAATGTTGCTTGTCTCCTTACAAGAATGAACTTTTCAAGTCAAAAAATTACAGTGAAAGATCGAAAAAGTACCACAATACTAAGAAAGAATTGTTTGATTTACTGATTCAGATCACATTGTGATTAATTTTTTCTATTTTAGTTAGAACAAGAAATTTCGAGAATATTCACTAATGTATTATCATTTGTTTTTCGTTACAATTAGGTAATCATGTTATGTATTGGAGTGAGAGCAGTGAAAGATTTCTTTTCTATTCGTCCATAACAGACAGATCAACATTTATCATTCATTTTCCACTATGAATGTATCGATCGATAATTGTTTTTTGTTCAATCAACAAATTTTTGAATTAAACAAATTTGAATATTGAATGTTGAAATGGTTAAACTTCAAAAATATACTTTTCTTCGACTTCATAATAAAGTATTTAACGTCTAAGTGTCTTGCTTAGTTTTTTTCGCTTTTCGTAACATTTCACACTTTTTTAAGTAAATAGGTGTTAGAATACGCTGAGTTTTCGTCAAATAGGGAGATAAGTCATGGAGAATTTTTGTTTGAAAAGATTTAGACAACCAAATTAATTTGTAGTTTTGATCTCAATGTAGGCCAAATCTTAAATATCTAGAAATTTACTTACCAAATGACTTAGCAGGAGAATACAAGTTGAGGATGTTAGATCCACAGAACTCACTTGATAGTGGTCCTAATTTTGGGCTGCTCGGTTGACCTTGAGATTACATTTCCCACTCGGAAAATTCTTGGCCGTTATTGATTGATGTATTATTTTAGTACGCTCTTTTTGCGTCTCTCCGAAGGACGTTTCTACCATGTATAAATAAACTCCATTTGTGTGTTTGTCAATCTCATATTTTCTGAGTGATTGTAGAATACACTATCTATGTTTTGTCAAGAATTCTTTCTGTTCTTAGTGGGGCTTAGGGATGTTCGGATTAAAGTAGCCTATCGTGTCACTAAATCATTTGTCTTCGCTGTCGTTTATCGACACTAAGCATACCAACTGGCGAGCAGAACAATATGTATACAAGGAAGATATAAAAATAAGAGTTACAAACAATCACTGGATAGATATATATACCTACGACGTTTTCTCTCTAACATAATCTAGCAACTTGACAACATCTGTGATTTGAATTCATGTGTTTTAGTAGTAAATGATTCCTTGATTTCCTAGGAAACATATATATATGTATATATATATGTATATATATATATATATATATATATATATATATATATATATATTCGCATTACGGGGTTGTGAAGATCGTTAAGTTACACATTTTTGAAACCATGAATCGAACCGGCCGTCCAGTGCTTCCAGGTTTCTAATGGTGGTCTAACATCGATCGATTCATGGTTTCAAAACTATATATATAGTATGTTTCGGTTGTGGAGCTTTCATGGTTCTTCTGAACAACATTATCAGCATAAACTTCAAATAGAAGTGAAGTATTCGAATTTCTCTACATTTGACCTGCAGCTTGTTCTGTTAACCTTGATCTTGTTTGGTTGCTGTTGACCATAAATCTGTCGTTGTTTGCACCTTTGTTTTGATTGTATCCCCCTTTTGATATGTTTTTTGATCCTATGTTGCCTATGATTTTTCTGATTGGTTGATAAATTGGGTCAATGTCGATGTGTTTGTTGCTTGCTGATTGACTTGATTGCCAAGCTTCTGAAAATTCTCTAGTTTTCTCTGTACTCCCCTTATCCAGTATTTCCACATTGTTCCAATTGAATATATGTCCATGAGTGTCCACAACCGAAACATCCATCTGAGAGGACGAAACACCGCAACAATCATCCATCTGAGCTACAAATGTTCTCAATAATCTCAATGTAAAGAGGCCTAAACGTGGGTTAACAAAATTTTGAAAATGATCAACTAACTGAATTTGTAATATTGAGAGAACTGAGTAGCTGACTCGTAAACACTTTGTGTTCAGATAAATCAAATAGTAGATTGTGACAAATTTAGATTACTTAGTTGTTGATGGAATGAAAAACGTAATCGAGAGGTAATTTAAACAAATTCAGTATATGAATGAATTTAAACAAGACAGGGGTATTGGATTTTTAAACAACTTAAATGATTTATAAGTTATTGCTTATCTGTTGGTTGAATTATTCAGTAAACTCTTTAGTTTGATTGTTCTGCAGTAAAATTATCCTTGTTAACCGAAGAACACTTTGTCAATGCATAAAGAATAATAGTAGTAACAATAGACTTATTAAGTAGAATACATTTGATAAGAAAATAACTGAACGTCAAATTTTTTAGCAAACACTTTAGTAAATAACTTCTAGTTGTCCTCATGCTGACTCTCATATGTTATGAAATAAATATTCCTTTCGATAAAAGTGAAATACAGATTCAGTTTGATGAGTTTATTGCATGCTATTGTTCAACCAGACAGATATGAGAATCAAAAAGCGAAGAAACAAAGCGAAGTGAAGTGTAGAAGGAGAGTGAACTAACTCAATGTAATGAAACATGACAAAGTATTTGTAGTCAGACGATATAGACTAGACAAGCGATAAGACTAGTAAGCAATGAACACATGTATTCCAGGAAAATCAAACAAGATTTCAAGTGATTAATTGACTAGGTCAAAAGTTGTGTGAATGATAACTTGGGCAGAAGAATCGAATTCCCTGGTCCTAAAGTTAGGACAAGCTAACCAAATCACTCTTGATGGTCACATCTTGGAGGATGTGAAAGCCTTTACTTATCTGGCCAACCAAGGTGGATCCAATGCTGATATGAGTGCGCGGATTAGCAAACCAAGGGCTGCATTTCTACAACTGAACAACATCTGGAACTCCAAACAAATATCAATCAATACTAAAATCATGATTTTCAATACAAATGTCAAGACAGTCCTACGGTCTGGAGCGGAAACTTGGAGAACTACCAAAGCCATCAACCAAAAACATACAAGTATTCATTAACAGTTTCTACGCAAAATACTTCGAATTCGTTGGCCAGACATCATCGGCAACAACCTACTTACTGTGGGAGAGAACAAACCAGACTGCTACGGAGTTGGAAATCAGGAAGAGGCGGTGGAAGTGGATAGGACACAGAATTCAAAAGCACCCATCTGCGTCACCAGACAATCCCTTTCTTGGAATACACAAAATACAAACTCTTAAAACGTCTGCTTAAATCCACGTACAAAATAAATGACTCTTTAAACGTACCTACAAGTGTATATCAGCAGTCATTTGCCTCTACACTTTATGATAATACACAAAGACAGACAAACTATTTCTATCAGTTGATCAAAAGTTTTCTAACATGATATGAATCAATAAAATGCTGAAGAAAGAAAATTATACAAAGCTCATTGAAATAGTATACGAGTATTTAGAATCCATTTTTTTATAAACAGAGATGACAATGTCGAATGGTTTCAACTAAGGCTGAATTTAACACAGTAAAACAAATAAAATATTGTCTTTTTAACTAAGATGTCACAAAACACATCTAAATATGATACTTATTTCGTATTCTGAATCAAAACAATGCACTCTTTGACTGTAAACACATTTCATCAAATACTTAACTTGAAAAGAGAAATTTTTAGATGATGAACACAATCCAAGGTAATCATTTATTAACCGTAACAATTTTATTTACGTATATATTCTTCCTAGGTGTCCTTTTCTTCGATATCTTTAAAAAATAAACAAATCACGAGGCCGAATATTAGCTCGGTAGTTAGTAAATGATTGTGACTATGCATACTTACTTACTTAATTACTTACGCCTGTTACCCCCAAAGGAGCATAGACCGCTGTTATGCTAGTCTCTAGGTATGCTTAAACTATTACGGGTTCACCTATGTCGAATAACAAGAACAAAACAATGAACCAGTGTCCAGGTAGGCTACCGTAATCCCTTGACCAAATTAGATCAGCAGGAAGTCTTAATATAGTGTAGAAAGTATATTCTACAAACACTCACCAAGCACACAATGAATCCAAGCACTCAAATTGCTTTTATTTATGCTCCATAGAGTCGCACACTAAAATGACACAGTAACCAATCACAGCCAAGGATTTTCCTGGTGGGAAATGTGATCTCAAGGTCAACAGATCGGTCCCATGAAATAAATCCAAAATAAAGATATTCATCAAGCGAGTTCTAGGCATCTAACATCCCCAACAACCGCCCATCAGTTTTCTCCAACCAGCTATGCATAATGTATCAAAAAACAATAAACAGATAGTTTTGTCTTGTTACAGAATTCCAAGACTTGACAAATTCAATCTCTCATTTGGATTAGATCCAGGCGCCATAAACCTGCTTTGTGAGTGAATGTGTCAGTGTTTCTGTCAGATTTCACAATTGCAATCAGTTTTTGTGTGAACCTTATTATAAAAACAGTTATTGTAATCACAGTTTATACAATCTTGTTAAATTTATATATTTGAAATCAGTTTCTTTTTCAGGAAACTTAATAATACATTCTAAACTCTGAAAAACTCAACACAACGAAACACAACAGCTTATTATTAAATGATTGTGTATGATGATTGATTGTATATGAAAGATGGAAAAACAAGAAAGCTAACCAATCAAATTATTTGTGTGTATGATGAATTTTGGTTTGTTGAAAAAAACTAAAGTTCATACACTCTCTGTTTTTTACAGTAGTGATCAGTGTTCATTGTATTTATGATATTTTGAAAATACATTTAAACAATCATTATTATTATTATTATTATTGTTCAAAAGTTTAAATGAATAGCAAGAAAATGACATTGATCGGTTAGTATTTGACGGTGAATTTCACACACCATCTAGATTTGAAAAGTTCCTTGCTTCACTACTACTGATTGGTAAAACGGTATCGTTCATCGATTGAGTAATACGGAAATAGAATAGAGATTAAAAGAACAATAAGAATGTCAATGAAGCTAACGGATTAATTGTTGTGAGTTTCATCATTGCAATTTGGAATTTGATTTATTTTATTGTATACATTGAATGTAACAAAACAACACACATTTCATCTTTGTAATTTATTGTACACACAAAACAAGATATTTATAATTTTTGAAATAATCAATCAATCATTGTTAGACCAACATTAGAAACCTGGTAGCACTGGACGGAAGTTTCGTCCTAGTATGAGACTCATATCAGTGGCAGTGCGCATACACGACTCCTGCACCTCACAGGATTCGAACCCGGGACTTCCGGTGTTGTGCGCGAACGCCTAACCATTGGACCACTGGACCAGCACACAATATCGAAGGTTCCGGGTTCGAATCCTGCGAGGTACAGGAGTCGTGGATGCGCACAGAAGATGAGTTTCATACCAGGACTTGACGGCCATCCAGTGCTTCCAGGTTTCTAATGGTGGTTTAACAATGATTGATTGATGATTTCAAATGTGTAAAATCACTAATCTCCATAACTCTAATTGAAAATATTTATAATAGTCAATATTTTATTTCTAAAAATACATCAAACTTCAAAAGATCGTAAAATGTTACAGAAATGTGTTATAAAATGAATGGATGTGTCATCTGTTTGAAACGAAACTTAATCAGAAATAAGGTCTGTCTGAGGTATAAAAAGATGGTAGTTGTCCATTTTGTAAAGTCAGATGTATGCTTCAGATTGCTGTATTGTTAATTCACAAGATAATAACCAATAAGTAGTTTCTGCAACCGCATGGCCAAAAGAAACACTGACTTAATGTTAGCCTTACTTACTTACTTTCTTACGCCTGTTACCCCCAGTCGAACATAGGCCGCCCACCAGTTTTATCCAACTAAATCTGTCCTGTGCTTCCCTTTCTAGTTCTTTCCAGTTTTCATTCATTCTTCTCATGTCTTTCTCTATTTCTCGATGTAATGTGTTCCTTGACATTCCTCTTTTCCTTTCACCTTGAGGGTTCCATGTGAGGGCTTGTCTTGTCACGCAGTTGGTTGCTTTTCTCAGTCTGTGTCCTATCCACTTCCACCGCTTCTTTCTGATTTCATCCTCCACTGGAATCTGGTTTGTTCGTTCCCACAGTAGGTTGTTGTTGATCTTGTCTGACCGACGAATCCGAAGTATTTTGCGTAGACAACTGTTAATAAACACTTGAATCTTCTGAATGATTCCCTTCGTGGTTCTCCAAGTTTCCGCTCTATACAGTAGAACTGTCTTGACATTTGTATTGAAAATCCTGATTTTGGTGTTGATTGATATTTGTTTAGAGTTCCAGATGTTATTCAGTTGTAGAAATGCAGCCCTTGGTTTGCCAATCCGTGCCCTCACATCTGCATCGGATCCACCTTGACTGTCGATGATACTTTCACGTCCTCCTTCATGAAGAGTGATTTGGTTGATGCATGTTGTGTTGCGTCGGAGAATTTCGCTTTTTCCTTTAAGTATGTTGAGACCTACTGCTGCACAGGCTGCTGCTACACTGATCGTCTTCTCCTGCATTTGTTTCTGCGTGTGCGATAGAAGAGCCAGGTCATCTGTGAAGTCCAGATCGTCGAGTTGCGTCCTAGCTGTCCACCGAATACCGTGATTCTCTCCAGATGCTTACGACTCCATAATCCATCCGACCACTAGGAGAAAGAGAAAGGGTGAGAGTAAGCAACCTTGCCTGACACCGGTCTTCACCTCGAAAAAGTCTGTTAGCTGTCCTTCGTGTACGATTTTAATGTTATCTGGGACAATATAAATTCGAAGGAATCGACATTTTCATTTAACGATTTAAGATACTTGATAAACTATCATTTAGCTGAGTAAAAACATATGAACTGATGAGATAGTAATGTTTTGATGAATTAATCATTACAATTATTTTAATTTAATAGTTAGAAATTTGGAAAAATTATAGAAAATACTTGAAATATCTAGATGAACTTTGATGTATAAAGTTTAATGCCTTCAACGTCTTCGATTTGAACAATCATGGATTATTAATGACAAATGACAATGTTTACTCATTATTATTACAGTAGTCTTGAATACAGAACAAGGAGAAAAACTTCAAAACGTAACAAAAGCAATCATTATTTGCAAAATGTTTCGATTCACATAAGAGTAGTTTAATAATTAAACAGTCATTCATTCATTATTTTAAAAGCCATCTTGTTTAAATAAGTCATTTTTAAAAAGCTACTGCGTGACATTTTAGTTAACATAACTATTAACTAGACAGATAACCCTCAAGAACACGATGGCAAATATTTTATAGCTTAAGATGAGGTATTGTGATCACTTAGCTGAATGGTTTGATCGCGAAGTTTCCAGTGACTTACTCCACTATTGATCACCTTCCTAAACTGTTGATCTAGAAAGTGATGGATTAATTCTCCCTCATGACCTGAACTGAACTCTGATGTTATAGTTCTTAATCCTTTTCATCGTTGAATATATTGATCATCAGAAGCAATACAGTACACCTGAAGCCTCCACTAAATCAGAAACTCTGTCATTTTTAATCAAAACCTCATTTAGATTTACAACTAGCCATTAACTCAAATAACAGGTGATATGAATACATCATTTGAAAGACTGATTGCATATTTCACCGCCATCGTTACACAGAAAAATGTATTAATGTACTTAATGAATTTTTCTAAAAGACTTCGTCAGGAAACGCTTATGAAATCGACCATCAGATATACAAATCAACAGCTGAAATCAGCTGTTTCACCATTGATGAATAACATCTTAAGGATCGCGAACAAATTATCGGAAATGGGTGTAACTCAGACGATGACGAAATCAGCACAAACATTATTATACAAATCAAAGGACTAAACAATGGACGAAAGCGAGTAAAACATAGCATACAAAATACATTTTAATGACTGTATCAAACACTATGGATGATTACATGGCCTTCCCTCTTCGTCTGTGTTCACATAAACACCGGTTAGCCAGTTAACCATACAACATAACTTCGGTCAGATCGTTACATTTAGAAAACTTGGAACACATATTTTAAAAGGAAAATATTGACATATCGGACAAGGGATGCTCAAAGAAAGCCTTACACATTCTGACCATAGGTCCGTCAACAAGCACATCTAAATCTATCAAGTCTACTATACAATGCGGAAAAAGATCGAAAACAACGAGGTCAGAATCCAAACTACGACAAGAAACAACCACACAGTTATGGGTAACTACCAAACAAGTTTGAAGCTAGTAAAATAAATTGTTAGTTCATTCTGGAGGAATTTGAATAACTTGTCTCTCTTTGAAGCTTCACAATAAAACTATCCAACTTATAGATCGCAACATATCTAATACCAAACGACAAGGGTACGAAATTAAACAAACTTATATATGCATATGTATTGCATAGTTAAAAGTCTAAGGTTGTTAAGGAAAGATTCAAAGATTAAGTGAGAACGCCTAAGAGTGGTTAGCATACTTTGCATACTTAGATGAGGCAACTTTAGAGACTCACTCACTATATACAAAATAGGAATAAAAGAGTTGTTAAACATTAAGATTTTGAAAAACAACCACCTCAACCAGCGTAAGACAGAATAAAAGGAATAGGCTTTGTATGCACGCTTAAATCAAACTCGGTTTTCTTCCAGTACCTGAGTGAACGAGAACACAGGTGGAGCAACCGAATTGTATTTAACGAAAATTACAGAGTTACTCAGTAAAATTGGAAAACCATATCGTAAACGTTCATTTGCAAAATAACAGTTCATCATCTCGAACTGGACTGTACCTGTTGCAAAACATCAATCCATTGTCACTATTCATGCGTTTCATACAAATTCCATTGTTTTCTAACTCTTCCTTTCTTGATCTTCCCCCCATCTTCTGCTGCCAGACATTTCGTTGACACTCACGTCATATACTACTTATGAGTAGCTCGCACCTCAGCACCACACATCTTGTTCCAATAATAGAATTTTGATAAACAGTCTTATGTTTCGCATGAATATATTTTATCACATAACTTTTGTCTCTTCTTGTTTTGTTTTTTTCTTCAAGAACAGATAAAGGGTATTATGCCAAGAACTAACGTTAGATATGCATTTAAAGCATTAAACGGCATTACAGGAGTAAGTTATCTTCCCATATTAACTGTGATCGTAACTTACATTTGTATCAAGGAATTTAAAGTGTATTCATGTTTTTATTTCTGATTTCTTTGAAGATTATGTTTTTAGCCACGTTGATTGTTTGTGGTGTATTATTTTGGTCAAAGTTGTCAGCAAATTATATCAGATCAAAAGTGATTAAGTTTAAAGTACCAGTGGATCCTGATAGTGCAGTACTGAGAAGTGGATTAAACTATATCATTCGAAGTTTCTTGAGTAAGTTAAGCTACGCGTAGTTTTTGTTAATATGACTGATTGTATATAAATATATATATATATATATATATATATATATATATGTGTATATGTGTACTGTTCAACTATGATTGTGGTGGTTTTTGAATATATAGTGATTTGGTTTAAAACACATCAAAAATAACGTATTTATCGACAGAATAATAGGACTATTATAGAATAATTACATTTGGTAATACCAAACTCTTATGGGCTCGCAATAGAAGCTTATCATTTCATAGAATGATCAAGACTCATATAGTGACTTGATTTCGGAATCGTATGATACTTGATTCATGGTAAAGAAGTTTAACTTGCTATTCTGACCTTAAGAAACTGTAAAATATCTGGCCGGCAGTACACTCCTTAAGAATGTTCACTTATGAGAATCAATTTGACACAGGAACTAGGAATTTTAGGTTATTCAGAAACTACATTACTTTGAAATCAATGATTCATATTCCAATATCAGTCAGTTCCAAGTGGAGAACTATGTACATCCTATATCGTTACTATGATAAATAGCTGATGCACAACTATGTAAATCGCGGTTTCTAGTTTCATTTTACTTTCACTCAAGTAGATGACTTGTATACTATTAATAAGTGTTGAAAAACGAAGCAGAAACTTTTTCAACTAGTGCATGAAAGGTAATTGATTTGAATAAATGTATTTAATATGAGTGTTTGTTAGAAATTTTTATATTTAAAGCATAACGCTGATATGTATCTGTTGGATACACTATGATATATATTATGAAATACTTTCTGAGACGTATTTATTATCCGCTACGTTACCTTATTCATAACCCTATCTATCATTGTATTTAGTGTTATATAAAAATTTTTGTGACTGCGTTAAATATTTGCAGTTTCATAAACAACTGTCTTAGGTGCTGAAGACGTTCTTCGGCTATAGCGCTAGCTACACTTATACCACCCCCAACGAAATCCTGACGACTTAATCGATGAATTGCTAGAAGGTCTGAGCTGCAATAGTTAATTTGAAGGGCAATGGCAATAATTCACTTAACCCGAGCGGTGAGATTACAGCCGTTTTCGGTATGTCTTTTCGCGCAATGGGAAAATGATTATAAGCCGCAATAGGGTCATTCTTTGAGAAGATGGTGGCGCCTTCCATGTCCATAGTAAAGTCGTGGATATGTGGTACCGGATATCTACTCATTAGAGTTTTTTTATTATCGGCTCTATAATCTCCATGTGCACTGGAGATGCCTAGGAACTGCTAGACGACCTTATAATACCAAGTTTCATAAATTTGTCGAATCATTGTTTTGATAGAACAATAAGAAGACGTAAGTGATCCAAAAAATCTGATGTATTTGCGCTAAACATTTTAAAACAAGCTAGTCACACATGTACACCTGTTGAGGCATTTTATAAAAAATTCAAGTAGACATGAGGTGATAATAGGAAATGAAGGAGATGAAAAATTAGCGAAATATTGTCGCATCACCTTGAATAACGAGGGTAAATTCAGGATTATAACAAACTGTTTTTGTACAGATAAGAGGGTTTTAATTTACAAGGCTTCCATAAACCTCAGAATTTTTCCTTGTTTTGAAGGCTCTCTTGATATCAATCTTTTGCCCCGTCTCAATTATGTCTTTTGCAATTAATGAACATAGTTCAGTATTTTCCACATTTATTGGGTCATCTAACGTTAACTGATTTTGAAGCCACTTAGGTACATGTTTCATAACCTTTGATTGCAAAGTTCGATTACTCCGCCCTATGTATGTGTGACCACACCAACATGTAAATCGATAAATGCATTAGGAAATGATGTAATCATGCAACTAATGTGTAAGCCTATGTGGAATCATGGGCTTAGTCTTTTCAACTGTAATCAATTTAGCAGCGTAGCACGTTTTCACCATGGCTGCTTTCAGTCTCAGTCTTAAGAATAACCTATTTGATTCGCCTCTTTTAATGGTAAAGTGATATCAACACTTTTCTTTTCAACATAATAGACTGAACTGATTTCTACACTTTTTGCTATAACCAACTGAAATCAATTTTTCAGTCAAAGATTCGTCCGTTGTGCGAAATAAACGACTGTCTGTAGCAACTACACCAACTGTCGCGGTCGTTACCGACAAACAGCGTAACTGTTTCGGTAACTAAAGTTATATTTTCAATAAGTGAACTATTTGAAATCATCAATCAGTCATTGTTAGACCACCATTAGAAACCTGGAAGCACTGGAAGGCCATTTCATCCTGGTATGGGACTCATCAGCAGTGAACATCCATGACTCATGCACCCCGCAGAATTCGAACCCGGTACCTTTGGCATTGTAGGCGAACGCCTTACCATCGGACCACTGCTGATGAGTCCCATACCAGGACGAAACGGCCGTCTTTCAGTGCTTCCAGGTTTCTAATGGTGGTCTAACAATGATTGATTGATGATTTCAAATGTGTAAAAACGCAAACCTCCAAAACTGTGCCCCCCAAAAAATCTTAAAATAGTTGCATATCAGTATATCATTTTAGTTTGTTAAACAGTTTGTCGATTTCTAGTAATATTTAAGAAAAGATATTCAATAAATGTTGAATGCAAAGTTCCTTCTTATCTATTCATCATTTCTGTTTTCATTTTGGCAGCTTTTAGGTTGGAAGATGTTTTTTTCTGAAATTATTATTATTATTATTACTATTATTATTTTCAATGAACTTTCCATTTTTATCCAAAATCATTAGAATAGTTTCGCTGATTTGAATCAATCAAATTTTATTGATATTTGTGATCTAAATATAGCAAGAAGGTATTTAAATGGAAAAAAACAAAAGCAATACGAAGTTGTTTATTGCACAATAAGAAAAAAAACTATTTTGTGGGTCTAGATTGAAGAAGAAGAAGTTTTAAAACAACAACCACAACACCAACTACTCCTACACACACACACATGCGTTTTTGTTTTCAAGGCAAAAATAGTCAATTATAACATTGAGAAGAGTGAATATGATGTGATCCACAATGATCAATATGTTTTGTGCTTGTAAAATACTTTAAAAATATGTATATATATATATATATATATATATACTGATGATGATCATCAATCACACATGAATTCAATTTGTAGGTACTTTCATTGACATATTTTCATAAACAGTTTGTAATAAACAACACATAAAAATTCTCGAATTTTACTAAATTTACCTGATGCATTCTATTAGAATGCATCTGTGGTCTCAGTCATGAGTACAAGTGAGTTGGAAGTTTCACTGAAGCAAGAGCTATCACGTATATATATATATATATATATATATATATATATATATATATTTGCATGACGGGGTTGTGAAGATTATTAAGTTACACATTTTTCGAAACCATGAATCGATCAATGTTAGACCAACATTAGAAACCTGGAAGCACTGGATGGCCGTTTCGTCCTAGTATGGGACTCCATAGCATTTAATTGGCAAAGATTGACGATTTCAAATGTGTAAAAACACAAATCTCCAAAACTCTGCCCGAAAATATCGTAACAGTGCTCACTGGTGACTAGCTTCGCGAGGAAATTCTAGTTCTAGTGAAGAAGACGTGACCGATGGAGTTCAACCCTGTCGAGTGTAGGCAGTAACTACCAAAGACAAATGGGTGAAGTCGCGCAAAATCCGTAGATCAATCAGACGTAGGCATTAACACCGTTGGATGCTGGCCCAGTGGTTCGATGGTTAGGCGTTCGCGCACAATACCGAAGGTCCCAGGTTCGAATCCTGTGAGGTGCAGGAGTCGTGGATGCGCGCTCCCACTGATGAGTCTCATACCACGAAGAAACTGCCGTCCAGTGATTCCAGGTTTCTAATGGTGGTCTAACAATGATTGATTAACCATTTTAAACGTGTAAAATCACAAACCTCCAAAACTCTGCCCGAAAATTAAGCGCTTTTATTTCAACTGGTTACAAACCCTAGTTTCTTTCAAGAGAATACATGTGAATGGAAATGTGAATCCTTAATTAAGCAAAAATGATTATGACTGATCTACCTTGAAAATGAAAGACAAGCTATTATTCTTCTGAACAACAAACCTGATAATAATCATTGCGTGAGAACTATCAGGGCTAGCCAATTGAAGGAAAGACGATATTGTGGGTTACATTACGAAGAAATCAAAAATGTTGGAGTATTTTTCTTAAACGTTATTTCTCAGTAAATGAGTTAAAAAGTTCACCATCAAGTACCAAAGTTGAGGTTACCTCGGCTTTAAGTACTACTTCAATCAATCAGGCAACTAAACAGAAAGACTAGATATCATGTACACTACATAACGGTGTTAGATGGTCGGCAATAGCGGATGGGATACCATGAATCTGGATGATGTTTGACAAACTTCTCAAAGGAGCATTAGTTAGTTCCCTTATACTTTGACCGAGATTGACAATTAGTGTGGAATCTCGCTCAGAGTCCTTACTTATAAATACTCATTAAATATTTCAAGATTCGAATAACATTGTGTCGCAGGTGGTGTTTCAATTATGAGATGGACTTATCTAGTGATACATTTTACTAACAATCTATTCAGTTACCAATACTAACTTTATGCAGATATTCTGTGCCTAAATAGTTGAAGATAATGTGTTTTCTATGCTGATCTTGTTCTAATTGGCTATTCATGTGTTGTTTTTTTTCAAAATCTCATCATTAGATTCGTAAGCATGCCGAACGGATTTTAGGAGAACTGGTTTTTTCATATGTATCCTTATCAAGCCTGAAGCCATCAAGCTTATTTCTTGGATGGCTTATGGAAAATGTGAGCTGGTTTTGATAATTTGTTTTTTCCTCTACAATAATTTTCATTCAGTACTGGTTTTACAAATATGATGTAATTAAAGTTAATTACAATACTTGTTGAGCGCGAATTTTCAGGTTTTTTAAGGAGAATTGGTTATTAAGAATTCTAAAACAAAAACGGTTTGTTACAAACCTCATTTTGCTCTAGTAATCATTGATGAATTTCAAGGACATAGGGTAGTTCTAATATTTATAATTACTTACAAACGATACTGATTTCCTCACTCGTTTAATTACAATTATCAATTTAGTAATGGAAATTTGTAGAAATATAATAATTTTTTTCAGATGAACTTACTAGCTAACCTTATCTCAGTCATCGTTGAAGATCTAGAAGCATTCTATGACTGCTTCGCCTTAGTATAGAACTCTTGACTGTTAGTACGAATCAGTGACCCCCTCGAATAATGGCTCAGTGGTTGAGAGGTTAATAATCATTTGCTCTGGAGACTGAAGGTTTTAGATCTGGTGAGTACTGCTACTGAGAATTTCCATATTAGGATGATGAAACGACAGTTTAGCGTTGGCAGGTTTCCGTTGGTGATATAGCTAATATAAATTCAAAATTTCAATTGTGAAAAATGCCAATTTATTTTTCTGAACTTCCATTTAATTGACCTTTAAATAATTCCCATATAAAATGCCTTGACAAGTGTTATGCCTGTACGTAAACACGTCAACTTGATATGCTTGAACTATTGTGAGTTTACCTGATCGGAAAACGAGAGCGAGGATCGAGGTTCCGGCGACACGACATGTTACTCAAATCCGATTATCCCAGCCCCCCCATATTGAGTAAAAACTAAGAAGACATGATATGAAGTAGAACCTGTGCTCTACAGGCATTCAGAAAGTACGACGTCCGAATCCAGAAGAGAATCAGGGTCTCGGACTAGGGATCCGAGACCGGGTCCTGGTCCTGGTCCTGGTCATAAAAGGTTACAGACAATGCTTATTTATACATTTTGATCGAATAGGAAACAGCATCGAAGTCTGTGACATCGACAATTAAAACGATCAATAGGAAGCAACATTGGAGCACAGGACATTGATATTTAGGACGACCATAAAATTGACCAGTAGGAATTAACAAATAGGTATAGATCAATAATTCTCTTAGGCTATTGGATGAATATCCTAACAACAAGTATATGTACGATCAGATTATATATATATATATATATATATATATATATATATATATATATATATATATTAAAGTAATCTTTAGTTGGTATGAATACTAGTTCATTTCCCAAAGGTCATTTCAAGACATTTTTTGGAGAATTATTTTTTGATTTATCGAAGTCCTGTACTGGAATTAGCCTTGAATAACTAAATCAATTTGTCCGTTTTGATTATCTTACTTTTAGTTAAAATGCTGTGGATTCATCGATCCATATGATTTTCAAGAGGGATTACAATTTTCATCTGAAGACACATACGACGGAAGGAAATATAATGGTAAGTTGACTTCATGTGTGATATCAGTTAACTGATGTGCCAAAACCGATTCAAATTGACCCCAACGTTGGTTTGATGTTATAGTATTCAAATTTTAGAAAGTGTTTTTTTTAATAAACAGGATAATTTTGATCGTAGGATTATAATACAAGTTTGAAAATATCTGAACAGTTATATGATATGATATATATTAATTGTCATCAGTTAAAATAACTGCCATTGACTGACAGAGTACAGGTATATCGATTATGAGATAAGTACGATATATAGTAATGAATGGTGACTGTTTATTACTACGAACTGACTTATAGTTGGAAATCTACATAAATCATGACAACTCAATAAACTAGACGTAATAATATTTACAGTAAGTCTTGAACATTCTGGATTCAATTTGGAGCTGCACTAAAGTGACCTTCACATAGCTTGACACAGTTTTCTAGTATTTCCTGGTTGAGCATAAAACCAGCTATAAAGGGACTAAATTTGCATTAGTGATATGATTATAAGAAATTTTATTACATATCATAATCAATGTAGTTCTAGTGGGAAGACGTGACCAGTGAAGTTCAACCTGTTCGGGTGTAGACAGTAACTACCGAAGACTGTGTATGAGTTTGCGCAACTCCGTGAATTGATCAAGTTAGACATTAACACCATTGGGTACCGGCTCATTGGTCTATCGGTTAGGGCGTTGGCGCACAATACCCAAGGTCCTGGTTTCGGATCCTGTATGGTGCAGTAGTCGTGGGTGCGCACTGCTGAGGAGTCTCATGCCAGGACATGACGGCCGTCTAATGCGTCCATGTTTCTAATGGTGGTCTAACATTGATCGGTTCATGGTTTCAAAAGTATATAACCTTACAATCCTCACAACCCCGTAATGCAAAAATTTAAATCATAATTAAAGTAAACATGAAAGCTGATTTATTAACGATTTTCAGGATTCTCATTCTCACAATTATATTTAAATGTTGTTGTTGTTTTTTTTTAAAACTTCTAGGTATTGCAATTCCGATTCCATGTTGTGAATTAAACAGTACATATCAACTAATAGATAGTAATTGTCCTTGTTGGTTTTCAACTAGCTCCCATCAGTATACTGTAGGATGTCGTGAAGTATTTGGAAATAGTTTTGTGCGATTAGTAAATATAGTTTCCTACTCATCATTGTTTATAATTTTACTTGGGGTAAGTTCATTTGTTCATCTTAAGCTGTTAATTTAAAAAAAAGGATGTTGCAAACATTGAATTAGAGAACTTGTAATGTTTCTTCTGACTAGTTAGATAATATATATTTACTTATAGTGTGCATTACTTACTCCAAATAACTTTCAACCAAAACCAAAATCAGCATTTTAAATACAAATGTCAAGACAGTTCTACTGTATGGACTGGAAACTTGGATAACTACGAAAGGCATCATCCAGAAGATACGAGTGTTTATTAACAGTTGTCTACGCAAAATACTTTGGATTCGTTGGCCAGACAGCATTAGCAACAACGTACTGTGGGAGAGGACAAACCAGATTCCAGTGGAGGAGGATATCAGGAAGAAGTGGTGGAAGTGGATAGGATACACATTACGAAAAGCACCTAACTGCGTCACGAGACAAGCCCTCACATGGAACCTTCAAGGCAAAAGGAAAAGAGGAAGGTCAAGGAACACACTACTCCGAGAAATAGAGAAAGATATGAGAGGAATGAACACACATTGGACAGAACTGGAGAGAGAAGCCCAGGACAGAGTTGGTTGGACAAAACTGGTGGGCGGCCTATGCTCCATTGGGGGTAACAGGCGTAAGTAAGTAAGTAAGTAAGTAAGTAATCATTACTTACGGATCGACCAAGCTTTTGATGTAATGAAACACTGGTTAGATATGTCGTCCATGTTCTGAACTCCTCAGTAGTGTGTGAACAGATAACGTTGACAGGAATCAAGCAGAGAAGTTTCGATTCCGGTGGTAAGTGATTATTAATGAATCTCAATGCATGACATATATCATCCATCTACAAATTAAATGCCTCTACGTAAAACAACACATTGAAGATGAGCAGTAATAAACTCGAATTTTAACTGTTATATACTTATAATATATAAAGTGAACCGTTCACTCCCTTTTGTGGTCCTCATTAGTTTATTAAAAGCAACAATAAATTTATGTGTAGTCCTCACTTATTCCAATCTACTCAGTTTAACCTTATTACTGATGATAACAATGTACGAAATCACATGTCATGATCTATACACTTTACTGTCTTACTTACAATAATAAAGTAAACTGTAACACATTTATCTACTATGTTAAGTTCAAATAATCATGTTGATAATTTCTAGAATTCGGTTTATTTTCTAAGAATGAATACTTTTGTGACATATATGTATAGTTTTAAAAAGTCATACTTTCCAAATCATGATAGGGATTTAATTAGAACACTATTGACAATCGAGAAGCAATCTATAGGTGTCAGCAGCAAGGTTATCGATACCCACAGTTGATGAGTTCATTAAAAAAGAGAAATATGTGTTCAAAGTTCACTGCCTTTCTAACTATTTTAAATACTTGGTATTGTAAAGCTACAAAATCCAAGTTATCAAAACTCTACATGTTAAAAAGTATTTTTCATTGTTGAAAATTAGACTTGGTGCGATTTCAAATGATTGCATGAACATTTCATGTTTTTAAAATCTAGTTGACTTAGCTTACCTAGAGCAAAGTATCTGTGTTTCCTTTCATGCCTAAACTCATCCCATTTAGTACAAAATGTTAGAAGTATAACTTCATTAAACTACTGAATGTCAATTGTCATCATAATTCCAAAGTTAAGACGTTTATTAAAAGAGACTGAATTTTTATTTTCATGGTGATTTTATTTCAGACAAACATTTTTGATAAACTTGTAATAATAGTTTATCTTGGAACCATAGAGAATTGTACAGAAAATTTCAGAAGACTGTGTAATTTTCAAAGTTCTAGTCATAAACTGATGTTCACTAAAGCAACATTGTGTTGGGAATGTTAGATCCCCAAAACTCGCTTGTTAAATGCCTTATTTAGGATTTCACGTCTGCCAGCATGGGCTGATCAGTTAGTTGACCTTGAGATTTCATTTCCCACCAGGAAAATCCATTGCTGTGACTGGCTGTTGTGTATTATAGTGTGTTATTTTTGTGACTATCCCAAGGACGTTTCTATGATATATAAATAAACGAGAGCTGTGTGCTTGATTGCATTGTGCTTGCTGGGTGTTTGTAGAATACACTTTCTACGCTTACAAATCCTTTTATCTTCAGCTTGGGATTCAAGGTAGCCTACCTGGACGCTGGTAATTGTCTCGTTCGCGTTTATCGACTAAGGTGAACTCGTAATAGCTAGTAATACATAGTGACGAACCCTACTTATTGAAAACCTATATGCACTAATACTTTCTACAGGAAAACTGAGTGGGCAATGCTGCCGTTAGGAAACGAGTACTAGGTAAGGATGGCGGGTCATTAGATAAAGTATTGAATCTTCATCACTTGAGGTGGTTGGGACATGGGTTACGTATGCCTAACCACCGACTGCCTCGACGAACTATGTTTTGTGGTGTAGGAGTAGGTTGGAAGAAAGTTAGGGGCGGCCAGATCAAAACATGGCAGAAATCGATGAAGTCATTGACAAGTGACTGCACTGAGTCACGTTGGTAGATTTAGACTACGTGGTTGGGGTCCGCGAGACGAAAGTAACCGGTGGTTAGAGACCTTGAATGAGACAGCTCAAAATCGTTTGCAACGTTGCAGGTGCATCCACTCTTTGTGTTCTCCCAAACCTCAATCTTCTAGATTCGTCAACACCTTTACCTTCGTCTTTCTAAACTCATTTAACTGATCAGGGTTGCTGAAGAGTCTTACATTAAAAATAACTGTTCATCCATTGATTTCAGATTCATTCTGAATGTGAGTGGTTGTACATGGTAAATTCCGAATAAAACGCAACGTGCATTCTAAATTTTACTTCTAGTCAAAAATATCCGGCCAAACTGTTTATATAATCAAGAAATAAACTCATCCTAACGAATAAAAATGCAAAATCCTATTTAACTCGAATTTTTTAGCAACATTTCACTCTCTTGTTCATTATGTTTGTTTATAACTGAGTACTATTTCTGTAAACTTTTTATTTTTATGGTATTTACATGTGTGTATATATATATTTCTCTATTTTAGATATCAATGATTGCATGCTGTGTACTGATACTCAGAGAGTTGTGGAAAGCATTTTAGCAAACTTATTGAATACATTGAGTTTATCGCAGCTAATTTAGATATAACGTTTGTTCACCACTGTCCTCCTATTTTACATTGTAATATACGTGTATATACACTACAACAGATAAGAAATTATCCCAACAACGAAAGACAGAAATTACAAATGAATCCATTTTATTACAATGATAATTTTATATGAATGAATATCTCAGTGATTTTAGCAAGTAATCGTTTTAAACAAAATATCAACCAGATCATGAAGGAATTGATTTCTAATAGTGTATAAATATATGTTTAAATTAATTCTTGTTAGTGATTAAAGTCTTCATACTTGTACACTTGAGACTGGCATTCGATGTTGCTTACACCATGAGTTAATTTAGTATTATTGCAAAGTTAACATCATGGACTGACATTAGTTATATATTCGTTGAAAAAAACGGGAAAGCATTGGTCATTTGTATGGTTATTGGAATGTGACTTCATATCAGACATTATGCACAATCTTGCTGAGGATCTTAGAACTTAAAGCTTTCACATCTCACAATAAGAGCCTAATTTTTAGATCACTTCAGCCGATACTAAGAAACTATCATGAGTGAGTAAGTGCGCCACAACCGATGTAATTGTACTGCGCTAGCCCCCTTTTTTTCATCAGAATTCCTAGAATTACGTCTCAAGATCACTTACAGGCGGACTCAGTTATTACTGGTTTAGAAAACTATCAAACGATCAATAGCCGTCTCATTTTACTATGTACGAAACGATTGGATAAGAAAAATGACATTTAATTTGAGATGCTCTATTCACACAAATTACCTTCTAAATAATTTAGTTATGAATCTAGCAACGAATTTAAAATATTCAACCGTAGTCTGGTAATTAAATATGCGGAAGTTTTAAACTTGATGCGTAAAAGTTTGAGTCAAAGAATAGATTCTTGTAACATCTACAGAAGTTGTGATGACCACAAAACAAATAGTAACACAAAACTGAGTTCATATATTTAAGTATAATTACAAATTTACATAGGCCCTTCACGCCACGTGACATTTGAATCAGATATAACTAGGCGTTCTGCTCGGATTATATATACATATAAATACAGAGACCAGAGAGCTATTATCTGAAGTGATAACATCAGGAAATTCAAACCCCTTACTTTTTATCTCCATATATATTGAATAAGTTATAAAAACATGATAAATAATATACTGGTTGTCTATTCAATAAGATGACTATTCCCAGACACAAGTGAATGGATATTTTGAATTGGTTCTGCTGACCGCACACTAAATATACAAAAACGTATGATTAACAGTTAAATAAAAAGAAATCCTCTGAAGATGCATAATAGCAACTCTGTTAGTTTTGAATATGGATAGCTGGACCATGAAGAATTCACTTAGGAAAGTTGGAAATCCCGATTCCGAACGGGCTGTTGAGGGACCTGATCCTCTTACTTTGTTCCATTACATTGTGTGTTAAATTTCTAGATCGGAGTGTGGATGCCTAAGCAAAACCATTTGCTTCAGTTTGAGCATCAGTGGTAGCATCTCAGCCCAACCAAAAATTCATGGATTTGTAAGGCGTATAAATCCTTAGTTGTCATTCACCATCAATATTTGTATGTTTACATAAAGTAAGCTGAAATTTACAGTTGTGAACATCGAATTCCCTGTTAAGAAGCAGTTGGGATTGTTACAGTTCAAATGTCAAACTCCTTTCTTAAAGTATACTTCATATATGACTTTTAAAAGTAAATAACTTGCCACACAGTATGAACTCTTATTCATTGTCACATTGTGTGTTCTTTTATAACCTGTTCCATTTTCATAGATAACATTCATATTTACGAATTTCTGTCTATCATTTCATGCATTAATGAAATAACACTTCTTCTATGTGAATTATACTGGCGAATTTCAAACTAATAAATGCATATATTTGTCACTGTATAGCCAGAAATATAATCACCTATTCAAATATTCATTGTTATTACAATCACGTTAACTGGACGGCCGTTTCGTCCTGGTATGGGACTCATCATTGGCAGTGCGCATCCACGACTCCTGCACCCCGCAGGATTCGAACCCAGGACCTTCGGTATTGTGCACGAACGCCCTAACCTTTCATGGTTACAAATAAAACTTAACAATCTTCACAACAACCCCGCAATGCAATTACATGTGTTCACTAGTGACTAGTTTGGTGAGGAATCTTCTCCGAGTTCTAGTGGGAAGTCGTGATCAGTGAAGTTCAAACCTGTCCGGATGTATACAGTGTATGAGGTTGCGCAACTCCGTGAAGTTGATCAAGTTAGACATTAACCCTGTTAGCCAACGACTCAGTGGTCTAACGGTTAGGGCGTTCGCACACAATACCGGAGGTCCTGGGTTCGAATCCCACGGGGCACAGGAGTCGTTGATGCGCACTGGACTTGACGGCAGTCCAGTACCTCTAGGTTTCAAATGGTGGTCTGACATTGATCGATACGTGGTTACAAATAAAACTTAACGATCTTCACAACAACCCCGGAATGCAATTACGTTAACGAAAAATTAGAAGTCGTGATTTTCGTAAATATATATATTTAACATCTAACTTACTAGACTATCAACATACTATTTATCTTTGTATATGGTGGCTAGTTGTATAATTATTAAACCAGTATACCCATTTTCTGCAATATTTCATTCAATTTTTAAACTGATCATTAATAGAATGAAGATGAACAAAGAAATACAGGAAAATACAGTCAAAGTAAACCTGTCAATAGGTTCTTTTTTCACCTTGATCATTTCAAAATGTCTACTAACAAGAATACTTCACTGAGTTTTTTAGCACAGGTCACTTTTAATAACATACATATCTCGAACCATGTAGGACGTTGTGAATAATGCCTACAAATGTTGTTGATTTCTGTGATGAGACGATGATAATCGTGTATCAATCTTTAAAGCAATAGCCATAATTCTTTCAACACAAGAACGACGCATACTACAAGTGCTATCTTCAGAGAAAATGTTTTAAAAAAAGCAACAAAAAAAACAGAAATGCTTGAATGTAGATATCAAAAAACCAAACCGTCAATCAAATCAACTGCGTTACACTGAACAAACTGATGAACAAAATTACTGGAGTTGTATAAACATGACTAACTACTGAATTCAACTCTAAAGCTTAACTGAATAAATTGAAACGTATGTGACCGCGATCTTAAAGTGTAAAGATGTTTAATATCTATAGAAAAAATACTCAATCAAATTAACTTGATTATGTCAGTTAGCCAACAGACAGTCAAATTTGAAAATGCGTACGACGTAGGTTGATGAAGAGGCTTTTACCCAAAACAAGTATAACTTGCATTGTGTCTGGTTGGCTATTTCGAAAATATAAATGACCGAAGTGTAGTATGCACAATCTTTTCAAATCTAGGAAGAACTATATGGGTAAGATGAATTCTAGTAAAACTGTTTGCCGACTAAGGTGACATCATATCATTTTAAATAATTGTGAACTAATCAGACTAGTAATAGGGTAGGGTTAGAGAAGCAGTTGAACATATTTCTTTAAGAGACTCTGACGAACTTAGGCAGATAACTGTTAACGGGATGTATTACTGTAAAAGATCGCTTCATGTGAGCTGTATGAGTTCGGTTTAACTTTACATTTTGATGATACACATTTGAGGACTATTATTGAGACAAAATTTCTTTCTTAAGTGGATTAAAGTTTATTCATTCATTATTAGTATTCTGAAGGTCGTTGTTTTACATTGAAATCATGAATCAATGACAGTGAGCACTGGAAGACCGTTTCATTCTTTTATGGGACTCTTCAGCATCGCGCATTTACGACTCCCGGTACTTGCAGGGTTCAAACGCCTATCCTCTGGACCATTGGGTCAGCACCCCCTGGTGTTAATGTCTGTGATCAATCTTAGGATTTTGCACCACCTCACCCATTGTCTTCAGTAGATACTTCGAGCACCCGACAGGGTTATCAAGAAGTTATCTCTTATACACAAATACCTACAATTTGATAAATCTGAATTTCCAGCTTTATTAAACCCTTATAATATATTTTATTATTAGTTATCTCTTGCAGACACACGTTCATACAGCTAGTTATTTATGTATATTGAAATACGGCGGCATTTTCGATTTGAAAATATCGATCTTTTCGTCTTTGATTAGCGATGCTCAGTCATTCATCATATCTTCCTTCACAATCTCACTTAAACATGTAATAAAAACTTGTGAATTAGAAAATCACTGATAATGTAAAAAAAATGATATATATATTTACTACTTACATTGACTACTATCAAAATTATTGATAGATAAGTAAGGTATGCAATATAACTAACTGCTTTCTGACGAAAAATTTGTTTACAGCCTGTATTATGATGCTTGTGAGTATTCTCTGACATGTAATGGTACTTTGGACAATCGATATCAATCAGTTTTAAATCTTTATCCATTAAACAACATGGTATTGGTAATAAAACAACTGAAAGAAAGTATATTATAATATATATATATATATATATATATATATATATATATATATATATATATATATATATAGAATGTTCAAGTTTTATTAGTACATGACTAATTTTGTAATATTGAATAAATATTATGTTCTGGTGATCGACTGGATGATGAAGACTTAATCATCTGGAAGGGAAGCACGGTATTCACTGGACAGCTAGGATGCAGATGGACGATCTGGACTTCGCAGATGACCTGGCTCTTCTATCGCACACTCAACAACAAATGCAAGAGAAGACGACCAGCGTAGAAGCAGTCTCTGCAGCAGTAAGTCTCAACATACATAAAGGAAAAAGCAAAATTCTCTGATGCAACACAACATGCACCAACCAAATCACTCTTGATGAAGATGCTTTCGAGGACGTTAACAACTTTACATATCTGGGCAGCATCATCGACGAGAAAGGTGGATCGGACGCAGATGTGAGGGCGCGGATTGGCAAAGCGAGGGCTGCATTTCTACAGTTGAAAAATATCTGCAACTCAAAACAACTTTCAAACAAAACCAAAATCAGGATTTTCAATACAAATGTCAATACAGTTCTACTGTATGGAGCCGAAACATGGAGAACTACCAAAGCCATCATCCAGAAGATACAAGTGTTTATTAACAGTTGTCTACGCAAAATACTTCGGATTCGTTGGTCAGACACTATCAGCAACAACCTACTGTGGGTGAGGACAGACCGGATTCGAGTGGACGAGGAAATCAGGAAGAAGTGGTGGAAGTGGATAGGACACACATTGCGGAAAGCACCTAACTGCGTCACAAGACAACCACTCACATGGAACCCTCAAGGCAAAAGGAAAAGCGGAAGGTCAAGGAACACACTACGCCGAGAAATAGAGAAAGATATGAGAGGAATGAACAAAAATTGGACAGAACTGGAAAAGGAAGCCCAGGACAGAGTCGGTTGGAGAAAACTGGTGGGCAGCCTACGCTCGATTGAGGGTAACAGGCGTAAGTAAGTAAGTAAGTAAGTAAAAATGCGTAGAATCTCTATGTTTCAAAGAATTGAAGAACTTGATTTTTGTAAGAATGTTGAATAAGAGCGTAAAATATGAATTCGATACATTATTTAAACAATTCCATAAAAACCATGAATGCATCAGTGTTAGACCTCCATTAGTAACCTAGAAGCACTGGACGATTGTTTCATCCTAGTTTTTTGGACTCATCATCAGTGCCCATCTACCACTCTCACTTACCGGAATCGAGAATAGCACCTTCGATCTCGCTCACGAACGCCTGAGTGTTGTCTCAGTTTTCTGAAATTAAGCATTTGTGAGCAACACCGAAAGTCCAGTGTTCGATCCCCGCCTACGGGGATCGTGGGTTTGTGAGTCTTATTATGCGCCGAAATCGCCGTCCAATGCTTCCAGGTTGTTAATGTTGGTCTAAAGTCGATCGATACATGATTTCAATGACGATAAATAATTTATGGAGAGAAGAATCTCAAATTCTGCCAAAATTACATTATTTGAAAGACAGAAATGGAAATAACCTTCAAGAAACGTACATTTAACAATATGCTAACCATGTTTTAAAATCATAAATGATAACTTTTGTTACGTAATATTTCGTTCATCAAAATACAGCTTTCTAGATTTATCTTTAATTCTGATGTAAGCGAATGTTCTCCCCAAGTAGTCTAGATATAAAAACTTGTGTATGAATCTTGTATAAGTTCTTAATACTTTTTCGTGGTTTAACATGTCGCTGAATCAATCAAAATACTCATTGAGGTGACAATTTATGTTACATTCAAAATTTAAGGAAAGAGAACCTTGGAAACGAAAAAGTCGGACTTGATAGAATTGACATTTCTTTACTTAGGTGCGTGATTAGAGAAATCAACACCTTATTAAATTAAATTTTTTTACTAAAAGCCCTTAGTTAAACGACCAATAAACATCGAGAAACACTTAACAGCAATTATGCTTAAGTATGAGATTCAACAGTGTCTATAGACGACTTTAGTAGGAATCGAGCCTAGGACTTTGAAATCTCGACTCAGGATTTTAAATTTTCGACCAATAAACAGTCATTCAATGAGATGGTGGAAAAAAGTTTTAGTTCACGTGGATTATTGTGGTAGAGTTTCGTTGTTTGAGCTGGATGCTTTGATTGCGAAGCTTTTATTGTTCTTCTGAACAACAACATCAATAATATTTTAAATCATGAGTCGACCATTGTTAGACCACCATTCGAAACCTAGAAGCACTGGACTGCCGTTCCGTTCTGGTATGGGACTCATCAGTAGTGCGCACACACGACTCCAGCACCTCACAGGATTCGAACCCAGGACCCTCGGTCTTGCGCGCGAACGCCTAACATTTAGACCACTGATCCGGTATCCAACGGTGTTAGTCAATAATAACCTAACAAGATCGAGGTTAACAGGATAAGCTATGAGTCATACGTGGAGAAATGCAATTACTTCACTTCTATCTGAAGTTTGTGCTGATGATATTGTTCAGAAGAAGAACAATCGAAGCTCCACAGCCATTGAAACTCCATCACAAGTCATTCAATGAATTACGTGTTAAGCTTTATCCAGTTCATGAGATAACCTGATTAATACCGGTTCATTATATTTCCCATGACATTCAATAATCAGATAAACTAACTCTAAATGGTTTTTCTCTTGTTCAAGGTCTTTGCACCTTGTAAAACAAAGTCTCATGATTTAGTTAACTGATCATATTGATTTTTGAATGGTGAAAACAAGTCGTTAATAATTAATTCAATAGTTCAAAACAAAATATATAATTTTTGCCTACCATTGTAACTGTGACCATCATATTCATCTTCAGTTTCAATTGTATCTTCATTAAAATCAAAAGGATTCAGGTAACCACAACATTTTAACTGTTTCAATATGAGGAGAAGAGACAAAAAAAATAGATCATAGTAAAAAGAAGCGGCACATGAAAATTCAACTTCAAAATCGTTGATAATAAAGAAAATATTTTTTACAAAAAAGTGCATAAATCATCGATTCGAGAGCTGTACAGTGGTCCGATGGTAAGGCGTTCGCCTACAATGCCGAAGGTCCCAGGTTCGAATCCTGCGAGGAGCAGGAGTCGTGGATGCGCACTGCTGATGAGTCCCATACCAGAACGAAACGGCTGTCCAGTGCTTCCAGGTTTCTAATACTTGTCTAACAATGATTGATTGATGATTTCAAATGTGTAAAAACACAAACCTCCAAAACTCTGCCCGAAAATAAAGCGCTTTGCAAATCATAACCTCGTCAAATTAATCCTACACATTATGGGTGTTGATTATGATTTAGTCATGAGTACATACAATCAATTTCAACAGCAAAAAAAAAACACGTACTATACTGATTAAGACCTAATTGTGTAAACATTTCATAAATTGTCTTTTTTTACCTATGATCCTGTACGGGTGAGTACACTGAAATTAAAAACCTTGAACTTTGCACCGTAAACGTTCAATAGATTTTATTCTAAACTACTGACACTCTAGCCACTAGCTTATGCAATAGATCTGAATCTGATTTACCAAGGTTTAATTTTTCCTGTTGTAAATGTTAAATTAGAACAACACATATAAGCGAACAATATTGATTACGATTAGATCGTCATCAGGCTTTACTCTAATATACATGAATATTTATATGAAAATGTTAAACCAATCAAGGCAATTTGAGTGAATTACTCCTAAGATGTACGATGAACGTCTATTTCGTATTCAACAACAATTATTATAGACAAATAGACGGTATAGCCATGGGTTCACCTCTTGGCCCAATTCTAGCTGATCTCTTTCTAGCAAAGCTAGAAAATGGACCACTCAATGAAGCTATTCAGAAACTTGATCTATATTGCCGTTACGTCGATGACACATTCATCATTGTCGATCAGGACATCAGAAAAGAAAAACTCTTAGAACAATTCAACAGTGTACACCCGGCAATCACGTTCACGGGTGAAGAAGAAAATGATAAAAAACTGTCTTTCCATGACATCGCACTAAGTAGGCGAAATGATGGTTCACTAAGTAGAAGCGTGTATAGAAAAAATCCCAGTGCTTGCCAATACACTCACTTTTGTAGTTTTACACCTATCCGCTACAAAAGAAATTTGGTTAGATGTCTCACTAACAGAGCAAATATGATATGTTCAGTGGATACTTTAAGTCAGGAGCTGGAATTCATCAACGGCTCACTAACCGAGATTGGTTATCCCAGCGCATTCATAAAGAAGTATATGTTTGCCGTAAAAAAGTAGTCGGTGGTTTCGACCGCCTTTATTTGTGAAGTTACAATTCAACGGAGATGTGGCCTGTGATACTCTGCAGGACAGATTAATAAGAGTAATTAATAGAACATTCAAGGCTGCCAAACTTGCATTGACATTCTCCAGTCGACCAGTGATGTCTACTCAAACGAAGGATAAGTTACCTGAGTTGGTCTCCTCTATGTGCATTTACAAATTCAGCTGCTCCTGTGGAGATAGCTATATCGGGCGTACTACCAGGCAACTTACACAACGAATGAGTGAACATCTCCCAGCATGGTTTAAGAAGGGTCAGTCAAAAACAATACGCAGTTCTATCTTAGCACACCTAGTAGATAATGGTCACATTGTAGATAAATCTAGATCTTTTCGACTGATCTATCGTACACCTCCATCATTTCCCAACGGAGTTCGATCCCGTCTCCTACACATTACAGGAGCCATAGGAATACGTACATTCAACCCTAATTTATGTGTTCAGAAGAAATTCGTGACACCCCTATCTCTTCCGTGGTCGAATATGACGTAACTAACGATGGACATTATATTTTTTATTTTATTTGTATTTTTACACACTTGTTTATTACGTAATGTTTTTGATGTTTTTGATGATTATTTGAATTCTATTCATCCAACTTTGACCTACTTTAGTTATCATATTTTATAAATTTTCCTACTACTATCTGTTCACCCATCTTCCTACTATCCACTTGTACTTTTGCCTTTTACATTTCATTGTGATTATCACTCAAATTGCCTTGATTGGTTTAACATTTTCAAGTATAAATATTCATGTATATTAGAGTAAAGCAGCCTGATGACGATCTAATCGAAAACAATATTGTTCGCTTATATGTGTTGTTCTAATTTTCACAATGGGAATCTTTAATACTCGTAAATGTTAAAGACTGAAACTGATCTGTCTGTTTTGATGTATAAGTTTCCCCAGAGGAATTCAGTCCTTTTTTAAAATAATAGGTCATCATATAAGACTAAAAAACATGTTCTCAATTCTACTGCTAGTCAACATCTACTGGTAATAAACACATGTGACTAAAAAATGACATTTATCGGATGAACTGCTCAGGATGCACACAATCACAAGAAATAGACTAATCAATTTGCAGTCCTAAACATCAATAAAGCGAGAAATAAATGAAACCTAATTTATTACCGTAGAAATGAAACCTGCTACTATAGTTCTCATCAATAATACTATTGTGAAATTCATTTTGAATACTCTAGCTATAATCTATTCTTATGATCATAAGCGGTTTGTTACTGTACCCATAATGTAAGTTTAATTTCATCTTACATCTATCATGACAACAGCTGAAAATAAACTCGGTCCATCGTGACTTTTCATTGATCGATATAGATTAAATTTTTTTACGAAAATTTTGTCCATCATTTTTTCTGTCTACAATAAAATAGAAAACATTAGTCAGTTGAAAAACAACGGAGTTAGAATAAAATATTGATTATCATTTTGATAGACGCATACATTAATTGTGAGATACCGTGAATTGATCACTAGTAAACAATGTACGCTAATGAATATCAGCTCACTGGCCTAGATTCAAAGAGTTCACACTTGAAAGTGAAGGGCTGTTGTGTCATACTTAGATGGGATTCTTTTGCTTTCTAGTTTTCAAGAGTTATCTAACTAAGATCAGTCAACGATGAAGTCAATGAGAATGATTTTATCTATAAAATGCAAATAGTAAAGGTTTGGTTCAAATGTATATTTTAAGGTCTCTCACAATATATGAACAAGGATGCACATAGTTTAACATAGAATATGTATTTAGTGCGAATTTGCAACTGCTCAGGTGATGTTGGGGCATCTCTCTCATGGTCCCATTGAATCCCATGACTATTAAAGTAAACTGAATTTAGTAGATAGAGTTAGTATCTAAATTTTAACAAAGAACAATGAATGAGCAGAAACACATGTGTGATTGTGCTGGTGGTGTTTGGTTCTCTGAGCTGGTTGTTTTGGTTGTGGAGCTTTCATTGTTCTTCTTCTGAACAACATCATCAGCACAAACTTCAGATAGAAGTGAAGCATTCGAATTTCTGCACGTTTGACCTGTAGCGTGTTCTGTTAACCTCGATCTTGATTAGTTGTTGTGGACCTTGAACCTGTCGTTGTTTCCACCTTTGTTTTAATTGTACCCCCTTTTTGATCTGTTTCTTGATCCTATGTCCCCTATGGTTTTTCTGATTGATTGATAAATTGGGTCAATGTCGATGTGTTTATTGATTGCTGATTGACCTGAGTGCCAAGCTTCTAAAAATTCTCTAGTGTTCTTTGTCCCCCCCACCTATCCAGTATTTCTACATTGTCCCAATCGAATGCATGTCCATAATTGTCGGCATGTGTTGATATAAGCGAAGAGTTGTCGTGGCGTTTGACTGCTAATTGGTGTTCACGTAAAAGAAGCTGGAGAGGCCGTCCACTTTGTCCTGTGTAGTGTTTTTCACAGTTTGAGCAATTTATTTTGTATATGATATTTGGCTTTTCTTCCTTTGTCATTTTGTCCTTTGGTCTACATAGCATTGATTGAAGTGATTCTGTTGGTTTGTGTGCTACACCTATTCCAAATGGTTTCAGTAGTCGTGCTGTGTGTTCCGATATGTCTTTTATGTATGGTAGGGTGATCCGTTTATTGGTTCCTGTGCTTGATTTCGGTTCTGTTGACGGTTTTGGTTGATGTTTTTTGATGAAGTTGCGTGGATAGCCGTTTTTTTGGAAGATGGTCATAAGATGTTTTTCCTCGTTTTTTAGTGCCTCATGTGTGCTGCAGTGTGTCTTCGCTCTCTTGAACAACGTTTGTATGCAGTTGATTTTGTGGGTTCTTGGATTGTTGCTACCGTAGTTGAGACTTACGTCTGTGTGGGTTGGCTTCCGAAATACTAAAGTTTCTAGTTTTCCTGTGTTAGTTCTGCTGATTAGTACGTCCAGGAATGATAGGCTGCTGTTTGATTCCTTTTCCTTTGTGAATTTGATGTCATCAAAGACGTTGTTGATCCGATTGTAGATGTTCTCCATCTCATTCCTTTTCATAATAACGAATGTGTCGTCTACAAAGCGAACCCACATTTTTGGTTTGATTACTGGCGAAATCGACCCTTCCAGTCTCTGCATTGTGTGAACTCTATCGATAAGTTCTAAATCTAGATGGGAAACAAAAACTAGGTAGGTACGGCAAATCAATAGATAAAATAGTAAAATTTCATCATCTAAAGAGTTTGGGACATATATTACGAACACCAAACCACCGACTCCCTCGACTAACGATGTTTTGTGGTGTAGAAGTAGGTTGGAAGAAAGCTAGGGGCGGTCAAACCAAAGCATAACACAAATCCATGAAGTCACGGACAAATGAACAGAGCCATGTTAATAGGTGTGTGGTGCTGTGGTGCGAACTACTTATAAGTAGTATATAGCGTGAGTGTCAACGTAAAGTCTGGTAGCATAATATGGGGGGAAGATCAAGAAAGGAAGAGTCAGAAAACAATGGAATTTGTATGAAACGCATGAAGAGTGACAATGGATTGATGTTTGGCAACAGGAACAGTCCAGTTCCATAGGATGAACTGATCTTTTGCAAATGAACGATTTACGATATGGTTTTCCGATTTTACTGAGTAACTCTGTAATTTTCGTTAAATACAATTCGGCTGCCTCCACCTGTGTTCTCATTCACTACATTTGGTGTCGCTGCCTACACACAGTCGAGCAGTGAATCTCTCTCTTTCCTCCTTCCTTCTCGCCCCCCGGCCTACACACGCCCCACGTCCCCCACCGTCCCGCCCCGCCTCCCACCGTTTTGTTGTTGAGAGGAGATTCACGTGCTCACTGTGTGGTAGGCAGCGACACCAAATGTAGTGAATGAGAACACAGGTGGAGGCAGCCGAATTGTATTTAACGAAAATTACAGAGTTACTCAGTAAAATCGGAAAACCATATCGTAAATCGTTCATTTGCAAAAGATCAGTTCATCCTATGGAACTGGACTGTTCCTGTTGCCAAACATCAATCCATTGTCACTCTTCATGCGTTTCATACAAATTCCATTGTTTTCTGACTCTTCCTTTCTTGATCTTCCCCCCATATTATGCTACCAGACTTTACGTTGACACTCACGCTATATACTACTTATAAGTAGTTCGCACCACAGCACCACACACCTATTAACATGGCTCTGTTCATTTGTCAGCGACTTCAAGGATTTGTGTCATGCTTTTGTTTGACCACCCCTAGCTTTCTTCCAACCTACTTCTACACCATAAAATATCGTTAGTCAAGGGAGTCGGTGGTTTGGTGTTCGTAATATATGTCCCAAACTCTTTAGATGATGAAATTTTACTATTTTATCTATTGATTTTGCCGTACCTACCTAGTTTTTTGTTTTCCCATCTAGATTTAGAACTTATCGATAGAGTTCACACAATGCAGAGACTGGAAGGGTCGATTTCGCCAGTAATCAAACCAAAAATGTGGGTTCGCTTTGTAGACGACACATTCGTTATTATGAAAAGGAATGAGATGGAGAACATCTACAATCGGATCAACAACGTCTTTGATGACATCAAATTCACAAAGGAAAAGGAATCAAACAACAGCCTATCATTCCTGGATGTACTAATCAGCAGAACTAACGCAGGAAAACTAGAAACTTTAGTATTTCGGAATCCAGCCCACACAGACGTAAGTCTCAACTACGGTAGCAACAATCCAAGAACCCACAAAATCAACTGCATACAAACGTTGTTCAAGAGAGCGAAGACACACTGCAGCACACATGAGGCACTAAAAAACGAGGAAAAACATCTTATGACCATCATCCAAAAAAAACGGCTATCCACGCAACTTCATCAAAAAACATCAACCAAAACCGTCAACAGAACCGAAATCAAGCACAGGAACTAATAAACGGATCACCCTACCATACATAAAAGACATATCGGGGCATACGGCACGACTACTGAAACCATTTGGAATAGGTGTGGCGCAAAAACCAACAGAATCACTTCAATCAATGCTATGTAGACCAAAGAACAAAATGACAAAGGAAGAAAAACCAAATATCATCTACAAAATAAATTGCTCAAACTGTGAAAAACACTACACAGGACAAAGTGGACGGCCTCTCCAGCTTCTTTTACGTGAACACCAATTAGCAGTCAAACGCCACGACAACTCTTCGCTTATATCAACACATGCCGACAATTATGGACATGCATTCGATTGGGACAATGTAGAAATACTGGATAGGTGGGGAGGACAAAGAACACTCGAGAATTTTTAGAAGCTTGGCACTCAGGTCAATCAGCAATCAATAAACACATCGACATTGACCCAATTTATCAACCAATCAGGAAAATCATAGGCAACATAGGATCAAGAAACAGATCAAAAAGGGGGTACAATTAAAACAAAGGTGCAAACAACGACAGGTTCAAGGTCCACAACAACTAATCAGACGTGGAGAAATTTGAATGCTTCACTTCTATCTGAAGTTTGTGCTGATGATGTTGTTCAGAAGAAGAACAATGAAAGCTCCACAACCAAAACAACCAGCTCAGAGAACCAAACACCACCACCACAATCACACATGTGTTTCTGCTCATTCATTGTTCTTTGTTAAAATTTAGGCACTACCTCTATCTACTAAATTCGGTTTACTTTAATAGTCATGGGATTCAATAGGACCATGAGAGAGATACCCCAACATCACCTGAGCCGTTGCAAATTCTCATTCAATACATATTCCATGTTAAACTATGTGCATCCTTGTTCATATATTGTGAGCAACCTTAAAATATACATTTGAACCAAACCTTTACTATTTGCATTTTATAGATAAAATCATTCTCATTGACTTCATCGTTGACTGATCTCAGTTAGATAACTCTTTAAAACTAGAAAGCAAAAGAATCCCATCCCAGTATGATGACACAAGAGCCCTTCACTTTCAAGTGTGAACTCTTTGAATCTAGGCCAGTGAACTGATATTCATTAGTGTACATTGTTTACCAGTGATCAATTCACGGTATCGCACAATTAATGTATGCGACGATCAAAATGATAATCAATAGTTTATTAATTCTAACTCCGTTGTTTTTAAACTGACTAATGTTTTCTCTTTTATTGTAGACGGAAAAAATGATGGACAAAATTTTCGTAAAAAAATTTAATCTATATCGATCAATGAAAAGTCACGATGGACCGAGTTTATTTTCAGCTGTTGTCATGATAGACGTAAGATGAAATTAAACTTACATTATGGGTACAGTAACAAACCGCTTATGATCACAAGAATAGATTATAGCTAGAGTATTCAAAATGAATTTCACAATAGTATTATTGATGAGAACTATAGTAGCAGGTTTCATTTCTACGGTAATAATTTAGGTTTCATT